AGGACCCGGTCAATTTTGTCCGGCTCGGCATCGGTCAAAATTGACCGGGTCCTGCTGCAGACGGTCAAAATTGACCGGGCAGTCAATTTTGACCGATGCCGAGACGGACAAAATCGGCCGGGTTTTGTATCTACCCTTCATTGAAAAAAATTGAAACCTTATAATGAGTTAACACTGTGAATTTCAGCAAGATCAGAAAGAATTATTTGTCTCGTCGCTAATGTTTTAATTAACATTTGGCTTTGTTGGTAACACATTGCCAAGTGATAATCTCCCTTATTGAGATTTATTTGAAGATACATTATTTTCACTTGTCTTAAAGTGAAAGTGAAATATCGAGTCCTAATAAAGGTAAATATGTTTAAACATTGTTTATAATTTCTGTTGAACATCATACACAGTGTGTCTCACTGAACATTATAAGTTAAGAAAGAAATGATTTAGCTATTAAGACATGTTTTATATCTTTATTTTACTTTTGTAGTGAATTTTTCCTATAACAAACAAAGCATCAAATTTGGATGAATACACATCCTTCATTGTCATGCTTAGATAAAAACCATTCAGATTATAAATATCCCCGAGTACTTTAACAGGAAGGTGACAAAGAGCTTAGTGACATCTGCCCAACAACTCATCCATATCCATTCCTGGAAGGAAGGAAATGTTGCCAGGAAACATTCTGAATTTATGATTATGGTGCTAATAATAATTTTTTGCATTGTTTTGAATTTTAATTTAGGATGCTGTAAGTTTTGAAAAAACTATTGTTTCTTAAAAAAAATTTAACGAATGTCGCCTTACATGAAGGTAAAAAGTTGTTAGGGAGCTGAAATTTCTTAATATTTTCTTTAAAATTGCTCGATGATTAGTACTGATGCCCTTCAGGGCGGTTTCCTCTCTTCTCCCCTCTTTGTTAACAATCGTTAACGAAAGGTTGTTGTGAAGGATCGTTAACAAAACAGCGTTTTAATAATGAAACTATCGTTTAAAAAAAATTAAAACAAGAGAGCTGATCTAAGAGCAACACTTTTATTTGTGTATCTCAAGCTTAAGCAACTGCCAACTGAGCTTGATATTCAGTGGAAATACTGAGATTTACTTTGTTAAATCAGGTAAAGTTTTTCGTTTTAGGCACAACTAAGGTTACCTAAGTCTAAGATTAAGGCATCATTAAGACACATAACTTTTGACCTCTGTTTAAATAATTTCAAATGATTCAATTTGTGTTAAAAAGTAAAAAAAGTCTTGGAGCTGAATTTAGTGATATAGCTTGTAGAAAAATCTGGAAAACCCATTTGTTGGTGTTACAACAGGGACTAGAGGACTACTAACCATCAACAGTACTTCATGCAGGTACAAGAATGCAGTAGTCTTAAATGATATGGTTAAGTTACAATAAACTATACTTACATTTTATTTAGATTCTATACACCTTGTATACTAGAGATGTCAACGTTTTGATTTTTCTAGTTTCTAGCTTTCGTTACGATAGTGTTCATCAAAAGTATAAACGTTTGAAACGTTACGTTGCACATTATGAAATTTTATGGTATAGAGTAACGTTACGTAATGAATTTTCTGCACTTGAATACCTTATACAACGTTAAGCTTTAGTAAATGTTATTGAAAAAACAATAAGCTCCGTTACGCTTTTGCATTTGATGTTTTAAAAATCTTTCCCAACGTTGTGTTAAAGCTTATGTAATATAAACACAATTTTTTAACGTTCTACTTTCATGCAAGGTAAATATTTTCAGAGACCTTACATTACACTTTCACTTGGTTTAAGATATAAAAGATGACAAACTTTTTCTTTAATAAAACGTCATTGGGGCATAGTTCTGTACGTTACAATGCATTTCAGTGCAAAGAATATTTTTTGTTAACGTTACGTTTTATCTTAACTTTTCCAATATAAACTCTTTTAATTACGTTTAGAAATTTTCCTAAAATTCACCTTTTCTTACGTTACGATTTATCGAAACGTTATTTTAAAAACTTTTTTGTTACACTTTTTTACAACTGACAATCAAATCTCTTTATTCGTTTCGTTTCCAAGAAAGATTTGAAAAATGTTCTATACGTTGCGTTGTATTAAAATGTTCAAGCCTTAATGTTTCTAACGTTACACTTTATTGAAATAATGCGGTTTCTAAATGAAAGCATTGAAAGATTTTTTCCGTGATAATTACATATTTTTACCCACCCTGTATGTTGCTGTTGTATTGTTAACCTTTTTAGAGAATGTGCTGAAGAATATGCATTATGCAATATAAAGATGTTATAATATTATAATGTTTAACGATTTTTAAAATTTGTAAATGAAAGTTTTTAGCATTAGACTTTCAACTCAAAGTGTGTCTTAAAGGGACTAGAGACGTAATTTCAAGTGACCCCCCATTTATGGAGTGGCATGTCCATTGTCCAGTAGGGGTGATCAATATTGGAATAGAGCCAACCGCCCACCGGAAGTCGCTGCGTTTTCACCGTAAGACCACAAAAAAAATTTTATTTTTTATTTTCATTTTTTTATACATCACTTTCTTGGAAATTCAATGCTAAATTCAAATCTGTAAAGTATTTTTAAACAATTGAAAATTGAGAGAGTCAGAGCTAAAAAATTTAAAAATGGGTTTCGAATCTGAATTCAGCATGACATTTCCAAGAAAATGATGTATCATATTTATTTTTTGCAAGATACAAGACAGGAAAACACTCCTAATTTTCAAATCATCAATCAGATAAAGGTATACACGTTATAATTGGGAATCGAGCATGGCCCACTTTAAATGGAAGATCACTTGAAATTATCATCGTGTATTTGACGAGCTTAAACAATAGACATGTTTTGGACACTTCATAAAATGAGTTAAAATTCGACAAGGCAAACCACTTTTGCATGTGGAGCAGTAGTTCTAAATTATTTTAGATTAGTTTAGGGTTATTTTTTCTTTTTTTACGCAATGCAGACTGACCCTTTTCTTCTATCTANCAAAGATATTGGGATTAGAAATATAACTCAACTCCTTTAGACATTCTTATCTAACAGAAGTCATAGCTTGAAATATCAAAAGTCTACAACACCAGGTTGCAAAGATTATAATTTGTGGCAAATTTTACTTACAAAATGAGTAAAAAAGCGGCATTAGCTTTCGTTTTAAAACAACGATGAAAATGTTCATGTTTGGGGTTAAAAATATCAAATATAGTAACACAAGGGCTAATTTTTTTTAACACAAACAACGCGAAATAAAATTATTTAACATTTTTTTCTTTTTAAAAAAAATCAATTAAAAAATCATTTTTTTTTTCTATTCTAAAGTTTCATAAAAATCTATTGATGAATAAACATAACACGCATTTTCCATTTGATAAAATATTGTTGCACTTTAGTAAGTATCTACATTTCTAAAATTTTTCAACCGAAAACATGAACCATGCCAATTGAAGTTATAATTTCAAGTAGTCAAATAAACATGAAACACAGCAATTGTGTTTGTTCACAGACCCGTTCCACTTAATAAATTGATTTTTTTGCAATTAGTAAATCATTTGCTTTATAACAGAAAATGCATATGTAAAATTTCTTAATGTCATATTCCTTTTCCAGAGTTTTAGTGGGTTTCATCAAACAATGGCAAATCAAAACCTTTAATGTCCAAGAAACATTTATAAGATTTGAATTTTTACTAATAGCATGCTACAAAAAAACTCGTTTACACTTTAGAAAGTAACTAAGTTTTTTTTGTTCAAATTCACTAATCCCTATATCTTTCTAACCCGATGGTTTAAACCTTGTATATTTCAATATCAATGGTCTACGACGTTTTCATAAACAGTAATGCATTTTTCAGTTATACTTCGTTACACTTTTTATAAGTTGAACTTTGAAATAGAAATCCTTTCGTTACAATATTCAATCAAATCACAATTCATTTTTCAAACGTTAGACTTTCAAGCTCCCTTTGGAAACAAAACATTTCTTTACGTTATGGTCAAAAAAGTTGTAGATATTAGAAAAATAACGTTACATTTCCACAAAACGCTAACGTTGGGGGTATATTCCTCTAACATTAACGTTTAACGTTAACTTTAGGTATGAGCTCCTCTAACGTTAACGTTTAACGTTCACGTTATATAGAATATATCCAAACGTTACACATTATTGTAACGTAACGTACAAAAACGTACATTTTACGTTACGTTACACTATCGTTGACATCTCTATTGTAAACAGTTATGGCTTACACAGTATCTACATATTACGTTGTGTATAAAGATTGTTGAAAATACACCCGTACACCACTTAATATCAATCAAGTTTTTTCTTTAAAATGGAAGAGATATAAATTCAACTTCATTAATATAAGATATTGTAACGGAGTTAAAAGTACGTATTTTTAAAAAAGAATCTTAGATCATGGTTGGAATCAATTAGCTCTGTATATGGGAACCGGTTGGGTGTTTACATAAACTAAAACTCCTTTTTTGTAAAATTCACAAACGAATGTAACAGATTCTTTAAGAATTGGTATTTGTGCTTTTATGAATAGTTAAAATGTATTTATATGTTTGTATTTTTTGTGAACATCCTGTGAACACTGTGTATTTTTACGTATCGGATCAAGGTTAAGGCTACGCTTTAAACCTAACATTGAAATCTTGGAAAGATGATATCATCAGTTGTAACTAATCCTTGAGCAGCTCCGGAGTTCCAAACCAACTCTGTACCAACAAAAAGGTTCTAAAAGTTTGTCTACACCTGCAGCTTCAAGCAGCTCCCTAAAGAAGCAGCCTTCTACAGTTATGCTACAGAAAGTTCTAAAGGTTCATCTACACCTGCAGCTTCAAGCAGCTCCCTGAAGAAGCAGCCTTCTACAGTTATGCTACAGACAGTTCTAAAGGTTCATCTACACCTGCAGCTTCAAGCAGCTCCCTAAAGAAGCATCCTTCTACAGTTATGCTACAGACAGCTCCTTGATGTTCTGAAGATTCGTCAATATCAGCAGTTGAGAAGCTCCCTAAATCCTCCCACAGAAACTAACTACACAGTAATAACGCTCCCATATATTCCGTAACAAGGTTTTACCAATAAACATTTTTCAACCCCCACCAAGTATCATTTTATTAGACCTAAGGTTTAACAAAATCCTAGTGTAAAATACTTTATTTAGTTACCCATCAGTTGAGTGTGAAGTAGGGTATAAATGCTCTTTGAATAGTATAATTGGAAATCCAATGCATGTAAGTAACAAAGTAAAAAACAATAATTAGTTCTAATCATAAGAAGTATGTCAGAAAAGTATGTGATATTTTTTTAATTATTATAAAGGGTGGGTTAAGCAAAAAGTACTATATCAACATAGTGTCAAAGAAATCTGAGGAAATAATTTTTCTTTTCATAACAAATAATTCTTGGTTCTTTTGATCTAGAATAATATACCAAAATGGTTCTGGAAACAAGGATGATATGTTCTTTTGAAAGTATGCAGCGAATAAAATCAATAAAAACAAGTTTAAACAACTGAAATGCAGAGGCTGAATTTAAAGAATTTGAGCCGCATCTTAAATTTGAGATGTGGCTTAAACATGGTGTGTTCCACTTTCAAGATTTGAGCTGGAACTGGTTTTTATTTTTTGTTGATTCATGGCAACACAGTATAATTATTTAAATTCTGCCTCTGGTGTTCAACATTAGTAAAGATTAAATGGTCTCTAATAACCCCGATTCCTCAGTATCTAATAATTAAAGTTTAAAAATAGTAAATATTATAGATACAATAAAAAGATCAATTTAATCTTAAACTTCTATCCTGGAAAATGTATAAAATTCAACCAATCAGTGTTGATTGCAGAATTTGAACAAACAATCAAAATCCAAAAAGTTTTGAAGTTTTGGGTGCACAATCAATGCAAGAACTCTCATTGGTTGCAATCCAGCCAGGAAATCCAAAATGGAGATTAAGCAAAAAATTATAAGTGTCAGCAATGGATATAGAGATTTAGACATTGGGGTATCCAATACAAGCGTTTTTCACTTAATTTAAACTGAAACTTTAAGCTATACCTTAAGTATTTAACCCATTGGTTTCTACAAATTAAAATTTTAATCTCAAGCATTCTTTAGTTTAGACTCTAGTGACTTATTCTAGATGAATGTTGACCTGCAACCTGCTAGCTATTGGTATGTTGAAACAGTATCAAATGAATATGAGTGTCAACAAATCTGTGAGACAGAGACCAATTGTAAGGTGGTTGTCTTAATTTGGCATTTCTTAAAATCAAGGATAAATGTCTTATTGCAAGACTTCCCCCATCAAATTTAGGTTTATGATTATGCTTTTAGGGTTGGGTATGGAATGAATGGAATGAATGTTACATGTTTCAAAATGGAGTTACAATAAGAGCTATGGATCAAATGTAAGAAATGTTGTTATAGATACCAGATATTCTAATAATATGATTCTTTTTTTCAGCCTTCTGGGAGGTTTCAAGTCAAGCTACATCAATATGCCATTTGATTAAAAATCTGAACACATACTCCTATGTTATTATGTTAAAATAGTAATAAAAATAATTATGCTGGTAAAGCTTGTTAAGTTTAGATTTTAAAAATTTTTTTGCTTAAGAATGAAGCAAGAATTGTGCTAATCCAAAGATGATTCATTCAGTGATAATCTTGAATAAAATACAAAAATTATAGAAAAAATATTAAAAACTGAAGTGAGATCCAAAAAAATGTTCTAAACTAAATGCTTTTTATCTATAAATAATTTTGGTTCGTCTGTTTGTGTCCAATAAACTTTAAACGGCTGAACCGATTGAGCCCAAATTTGGCGTGGGACCTCATGTGATCCCAGGGAAGGTTTATGAATGATCAAAATTTCAAAAATTTGTGCTTAAAAGTTTTTTATGTTTGTAAAATTTTGAAAATGCGCGAACAAATATTATGAAATCCGCAAACATTTTTTGGGGTTTTGTTTTATACTGTACCAAGAGAGATGCTTACAGATAAAGCCACAATTAAAAGTTGAAATAGAAGATGGCATGAAGTGCCCAAAAAGTCTAGTTTTATGAATTTATCCAACCTAGTCTGAACCATATCAAGATAATAAGAATATTGCCAGAGCCCTACAGCTAGAACAGGCTCGAGGGCTGAGCGCTGTGGCTAGAACAGACTTAGGAACATGCTGGACAGGAAATTTCTTCTTTGGGAAGTTGCAAATTGGGAAAGTAGCCTTAGGAAGTTCCCGCTTGAGAAAATGGCTTTGTGAAAGTATTTAACATTTATTGCAACAATATGGGGGGGACGCCATGGGGGTTTGACGCTATAAATGGATTCAGACCCCTTGCCTTTGTAGGGTTAAATGATAAATTGTATCATTTTAGTGTTCTATCAAATGCACATTTAATTAAAAACTCCCATTTTTGTTTGAATCTTATCAGTTTTAGTTAATATTTACTTGAATAATTATCTATATACACATTTTTCAATAAATAAATGTGTGTACGTAATGTTTTAGTTATATATATATACACATTATTCATACCTAGTTTGCCTCCTCTGTTTGTTCATGAATAATAAACGTCAAAACGACTGAACCGATCAGGTCCAAATTTGTTGTATGCAACTCACATGACCCCAGGAAAGGTTTATGGACGCTCAAATTCAAACAACTTTGCTTTATAAATGATGTCGACATTTGTTATTTTTGAAAATGCACCAAAATCAACATTAAAATCCGCGAAATTTGTTGGTAATGCAGAATATGATAAGAATTGGCGAATGTAAAAGCAGTTCAATGAAAACCTAATATCCTTAATAGGAAAAGGGCCCAAACCGACAAAAATCTATTATTTAACATTGTGCCTTAAAACAAACAAGAAAAACTTCTTCTTATTGATCGTAAATTAAATTGTACACTGCAACCCACAGACACATCATTTCAGAAAATGAGAAGTGTGGATTTAAAAAGGCTGACTAAGGAAGAGGTAAAAAATGTAAAAGTTAAATGATTTATAAAAGTCACATTATAATATATTATTTTTTTTTCTTCTGATTTGTCTAGCTGAGTAAGTATATTGAGGATGGATTTATCTGTGAATCTGTGTTTAGCTGGATAAGTATATTGAGGATGGATTTATCTGTGAATCTGTGTTTAGCTGGATAAGTATATTGAGGATGGATTTATCTGTGTATCTGTGTATAGCTGGATAAGTATAATGAGGATGGATTTATCTGTGTATCTGTGTTTAGCTGGATAAGTATATTGAGTATGGATTTATCTGTGTATCTGTGTATAGCTGGATAAGTATAATGAGGATGGATTTATCTGTGTATCTGTGTTTAGCTGGATAAGTATAATGAGGATGGATTTATCTGTGTATCTGTGTTTAGCTGGATAAGTATAATGAGGATGGATTTATTTTTGTATCTGTGTTTAGCTGGATAAGTATAATGAGGATGGATTTATCTGTGTATCTGTGTTTAGCTGGATAAGTATGATGAGGATGAATTTATCTGTGTATCTGTGTTTAGCTGGATAAGTACGATGAGGATGGATTTATCTGTTTATCTGTGTTTAGCTGAGTAAGTATAAAGAGGATGGATTTATCTGTGTATCTGTGTTTAGCTGGATAAGTATAATGAGGATTGATTTATCTGTTTATTTGTGTTTAATTGGATAAGTATATATGAGGATGGATTTATCTGTGTATCTGTGTTTAGCTGGATAAGTATAATGAGGATTGATTTATCTGTTTATTTGTGTTTAATTGGATAAGTATATTGAGGATTGATTTATCTGTGTATCTGTGTTTAGCTGAGTAAGTATAATGAGGATGGATTTATCTGTGTATCTGTGTTTAGCTGGATAAGTATGATGAGGATGGATTTATCTGTTTATCTGTGTTTAGTTGGATAAGTTTAATGAGGATGGATTTATCTGTGTATATGTGTTTAGCTGGATAAGTATAATGAGGATGGATTTATCTGTGTATCTGTGTTTAGCTAGATAAGTATAATGAGGATGGATTTATCTGTGTATCTGTATTTAGCTGGATAAGTATGATGAGGATGGATTTATCTGTGCATCTGTGTTTAGTTGGATAAGTATGATAAGGATGGATTTATCTGTGTATCTGTGTTTAGCTGGATAAGTATAATGAGGATGGATTTAACTGTGTATCTGTGTAAAGCTGGATAAGTATAATGAGGACGGATTTATCTGTGTATCTGTGTTTAGCTGGATAAGTATATTGAGGATGAATTTATCTGTGTATCTGTGTTTAGCTGGATAAGTATAATGAGGATGGATTTATCTGTGTATCTGTAGTTAGTTGGATAAGTATATTGAGGATGGATTTATCTGTGTATCTGTGTTTAGCTGGATAAGTATAAAGAGGATGGATTTATCTGTGTATCTGTGTTTAGCTGGATAAGTATAATGAGGATTGATTTATCTGTTTATTTGTGTTTAATTGGATAAGTATATTGAGGATTGATTTATCTGTGTATCTGTGTTTAGCTGAGTAAGTATAATGAGGATGGATTTATCTGTGTATCTGTGTTTAGCTGGATAAGTATGATGAAGATGGATTTATCTGTGTATCTGGAATATTTACAGATCAAGAACTCGAAGAAATCCGCCAAGAATATGATCAATTGTTCCAAAGGAAATTATCATTGTCAAACTTTTTTTGCAAGATGGTATGGTTCAAGAGACTGCATAGACGTAGTTTATAAAGTGACATGTCCTATTTCGCTACTTTTCCAGCTGACAATTAAGTTCTTAAAGATTTTATCCACAAAAAATGAAAATGTAACGGAATTGATAATAACCTTGGTATGCTTTTGTTATTCGCAGACAGAGAAGGTAAAATTTATGCGAAATTAGGAGTGCAACTTTGTGACATCATAGCACCTCTAGTTTTGATTTTACATATAACAATATGAGAAAAGCAAAGTTATCTGAGCTGAAAACTTTAAAATGGTGGATATCGAGATTAATGCATGATCCTCTCTTTTTCTTAATATCAAGACTAATCTAATCTTGTACTTGTATCCTGAAAAGTGTATAAAATTCAACCAATCAGAGTCAAGTATATCAAGCTGATAAATTTGAAATTTTGTGCGCCATTTAAGATTATTTACAGAAATGGGAGGAACTCTCAAATTTAGAAAAAATCGGTTATTGATTTTCCTCTACTATATCCAAGAAAGAAGGGTTTAAGAAGAAAATCAAAAGTGTGTCCATTGGATACTCAGATTAAGTAATCAGGATTAAGGATATCTCATTCTAAAGTTTTCAGCCCCAGTTACATACAAAAAATCAAAAACATTTTTGTTCTTTTCAATTTTACGTATAATTAACTCTAGTTTGTATAAAAATGATGAAAAGGAAGAAGATGGAGAATGGAAGGTTAGAGGCAAGATGGGCCGGAGATTGGGAGAAGAAAGATGAAAAAGAGAAAGACGAGACGGAGAAAAATATTGTGGAGATCGAAAATGAAAAAAAGAAATCTGTTCTTTCAATTCATAATCTACAGCAGCACAGTGCAGTGTTTACCAGACTTATTCTTCATAAAGGTAAAGGATTTGAGTAGGGCTGGGCGTATTCTTAATAAAGGTAAAGGATTTGAGTAGGACTGGGCGTTCTCTTAATAAAGGTAAAGGATTTGAGTAGGGCTGGGCGTATTCTTAATTAAGATAAAGGAATTGAGTAGGGCTGGGCGTATTCTTAATAAAGGTAAAGGAATTGAGTAGGACTGGGCGTTCTCTTAATAAAGGTAAAGGATTTGAGTAGGGCTGGGCGTATTCTTAATTAAGATAAAGGAATTAAGTAGGGCTGGGCGTATTCTTAATAAAGGTAAAGGGATTGAGTAGGGCTGGGCGTATTCTTAATAAAGGTAAAGGAATTGAGTAGATATTGTTGCCAGGATTACTGGATATTATGGAAGATATTGTTGCAAGGATTACTGGATGCTATGAAAGATATTGATGCTAGGATTACTGGATGTTATGGAGGATATTGATGCTAGGATTACTGGATGTTATGTGAGATATTGATGCTAGGATTACTGGATGTTATGTAAATATTGTTGCTAGGATTACTGGATGTTATGTAAGATATTGTTGCTAGGATTACTGGATGTTATGGAAGATATTGTTGGGGATGGGCTTGTTCTTCATCATACTAAAGTAAGGCAACCTTAGATTAACACCTTAAAAGAATTTATCATTAATTTCACAATACCTTTTTTATCCTTATTAACACAACGTAGTCTATCTCATCGCTCAAGGATATTACAGCATGATAAAAACTTTTAACGTAAACCTTGATCTGTTCAAATCCATTAAAACCTTTATCTGTTCAGGTTCATTTTAAATCTTGATCTGTTCAGGTCCATCTTAAACCTTGATCTGTTCAGGTCTATCTTAAACCTTGATCTGTTCAGGTCCATTTTAAACCTTGATCTGTTTAGGTCCATTTTAAACCTTGATCTGTCCAGGTCCTTTTTAAACCTTGATCTGTTCAGGTCCTTTTTAAACCTTGATCTGTTCAGGTCCATTTTAAACCTTTATCTGTTCAGGTCAATCTTAAACCTTGATCTGTTTGGGTCCATCTTAAACCTTGATCTGTGCAGGTCCATCTTAAACCTTCATCTGTTTGGGTCTATCTTATACCTTGATCTGTTCAGGTCCATCTTAAACCTTGATCTGTGCAGGTCCATCTTAAACCTTCATCTGTTTGGGTCTATCTTATACCTTGATCTGTTCAGGTCCATCTTAAACCTTGATCTGTGCAGGTCCATCTTAAACCTTCATCTGTTTGGGTCTATCTTATACCTTGATCTGTTCAGGTCCATCTTAAACCTTGATCTGTGCAGGTCCATCTTAAACCTTCATCTGTTTGGGTCTATCTTATACCTTGATCTGTTCAGGTCCATCTTAAACCTTGATCTGTGCAGGTCCATCTTAAACCTTCATCTGTTTGGGTCTATCTTATATCTTGATCTGTTCAGGTCCATCTTAAACCTTCATCTGTTCAGGTCTATCTTAAACCTTGATCTGTTTGGGTCCATCTTAAACCTTTTTATATTAAGGCACATCTTAAACCTGGAAAACAAGGAGCAGCTTTTCCCTCCCATCAGGACTATCATTACTTCCCTTACAGGTTTAAGAAAACCTAAAAATAAAATAAATAGTGTTAACCATACTTTATGAGTTATAAATAGTGTTAACCATACTTTATGAGTTCTCAATAGTGTTAACCATACTTTATGAGTTCTCAATAGTGTTAACCATACTTTATGAGTTCTCAATAGTGTTAACTTAAATTACTTAATCTAACAGAATATCAAAGGTGTACGACATCGGGTTGCGAAGAAAAAGGAGATTGAAAATTATAGTTTGTGGCTAGAACTCAATTCTTTTACAAATTCAGGGACCATAGTATGATCGCTGCATTTGTGCATCTCGAGGATACAACTGCTGAAAACGGTGGATTAGGTGTATTTCCCGGCTCACAGAGGTTATTTACTGATTGCAAATCATCTAAAACTATATAATCACAATCAAGGAGTGATTGTGGATTGTGGAATGTGGAATGGATTGTAGACTGTGAATTGTAGATAGTGAATTGTGGATTGTGGATTGTGGATTGTGGATTGTGGATTGTAGATTGTGAATTGTGGATTGTGGATTGTGAATTGTGGATTGTGAATTGTGGATTGTGGATTGTGGATTGTGGATTGTGGATTGTGGATTGTGGATTGTGGATTGTGGATTGTAGACTGTGGATTGTGTATTGTGGACTGTGGATTGTTGATTGTGGATTGTGGATTGCGGATTGTAAATGGTTGATTGTGGATTGTGGATTGTGGACTGCAAATTGTGGATTGTGGATTGTGGATTGTGGATTGTGGATTGTGGGTTGTGGATTGTGGACTGTGAATCGTGGATTGTGGATTGTAGACTGTGGATTGTGGATTGTGTATTGTAGATTGTGAATTGTGGAGTGTGGACTGTGGATTGTAAATTGTGGACTGTGGATTGTAAATTGTGGACTGTGGATTGTAAATTGTGGACTGTGGATTGTGGATTGTAATTTAGATTGTGCATTTGATCTCAAATTTTTCTATGACATGACTATTTTCCTGTCTCCTCCTTTTATGCCGAGGGATACCTATAAATATGCATTACAAAAAGAAATTTCATTCTTATATCTTTACAATCGAATCACGAGTTCTTTTAGATTAAAGAGTCAAAATTGAAAAATATCATAGGTATTCCCTGTTCACGCGGTCACGCTATATCAAGTTATAATTGGTTTAAAGGTTTATAAAATTAGGGTTTAAAAAATAATCTGCAGTTTATTTGACTTTTAGCTTATATCATTCCAGTAATAACCAGAAAACCCTGAAGAAGGAAGACGACTTTTAGAATCAAATTATGAGACACATCAACTGTGCAGTATAAACAGGCTCATTTTACTTAATTAGTGATTTGATAAGTGTCTAGTAAGACCATTTTTTTGTAACAACATCATATACACTTAATTATTGTTATAATTTTGTTATTTTCTGGTTTTACTGTAGTAGTTCACATTTTCTTCCTCGATTATCTGCAAACTCTGTAGATAGTTTTAATCAAAATAATTTCCCCGTTTTAAATGTGTGAAATGCTAGAAATGATAAGAATATTATAGTGAAGAACCCCTGGAAGAAATTAAAAAACAAAAACAGACAGTTTATGAAAATTTAGAAAAGGTGCTCAGGAGAATGTTTCAACCAACCCTGGAGTTTACTATCTAAACCAGGAAGAATGGAATATAGGTATATTATATAATATAGGTATCCAACTTTTTGTGTGGAAACTACTCACATGACCCCAAAAAAATGTTACTACTCCTCGAAACGTTAAAAAATGTAGAATTTTGTTCGATTTTGAAAATCCATCAATATTAATTTAAGAAATCCGCGAACATTTTTGCTTAATTGAAGTCTGGTAAAATAATGTTATAAAAAAGATATAACAGCTTAAAAGCTAAAAGTCAAAAAAGGGTCGAAAACTGCAAAGACAGATTTTTTTTTGGCAACTTAATGGTTTAAATCTTTGATATCTAAAACGTTGACTATTTGATCTTACAGTTTAAAAGTTTCCTTCTTCAATAGGATTGGCAAAAGAAGTGAAGGCAAAAGCTGGAGATGTAGTAATATTTTCATACCTCTTGGTGCATGCTAGCTATCCTAACATCTCAGATATACCACGTAGAATGTTCCTACTCCAGGTCAGTATCCTTGTATCCTGGAGTATGCCGTTTATCCTAATTTCTCAGACATACCGCGCAGAATGTTTCTACTCCAGGTCAGCATTATTGTATCCTAGAGTATGCTAGCTATCCTAACATCTCAGATATACCACGTAGTATGTTTCTACTCCAGGTCCGTATCCTTGTATCCTGGAGTATCTAGCTATCCTAACATCTCAGATATACCACGTAGAATGTTCCTACTCCAGGTCAGTATCCTTGTATCCTGGTGCATGCCGTTTATCCTAATTTCTCAGACATACCGCGCAGAATGTTTCTACTCCAGGTCAGCATTATTGTATCCTAGAGTATGCTAGCTATCCTAACATCTCAGATATACCACGTAGTATGTTTCTACTCCAGGTCCGTATCCTTGTATCCTGGAGTATTCTAGCTATCCTAACATTTCAGACATACTGCGTAGAATGTTTCTACTCCAGGTAAGTATCCTTGTATCCTAGAGTATGCTAGCTATCCTAACATTTCAGATATACCACGTAGAATGTTTCTACTCCAGGTCAGTATCCTCATATCATGTCGAGTATGGTAGCTATCACAACATTATGAATGTTTATGTCTCTATGATTTTTTAATGTAAATTACTTGGACTGCGCGTCTGTCAACCACTTCAGTTTACCTTCCCTGCTCTACCAACTGCCCCCTCTAATCTTCCCTACTCTACCAACTTTTCTACAGTATCCTGTTATCCAAAAACCTAAAATATATATTTCTACTCCAGGTCAATATTATTCTACAGTATCCTGTTATCCAAACACCTAAAATTTATATTTCTACTCCAGGTCAGTATTATTCTACAGTATCCTGTTATCCAAAAACCTAAAATATATATTTCTACTCCAGGTCAACATTATTCTACAGTGTCCTGTTATCCAAACACCTAAAATATATATTTCTACTCCAGTTCAGTATTATTCTACAGTATCCTATTATCCAAAAACCTAAAATATATATTTCTACTCCAGGTCAATATTATTCTACAGTATCCTGTTATCCCAACACCTAAAATATATAGTTCTACTCCAGTTCAGTATTATTCGACTTTATCCTGTTATCCAAACACCTAAAATTTATATTTCTACTCCAGGTCAGTATCATTCTACAGTATCCTGTTATCCAAACACCTAAAATTTATATTTCTACTCCAGGTCAGTATTATTCTACAGTATCCTGTTATCCAAACACCTAAAATTTATATTTCTACTCCAGGTCAGTATCATTCTACAGTATCATGTTATCCAAACACCTAAAATTTATATTTCTACTCCAGGTCAGTATTATTCTACAGACTGTATCCTGTTATCCAAACACCTAAAATATATATTTCTACTCCAGGTCAGTATTATTCTACTGTATCCTGTTATCCAAACACCTAAAATTTATATTTCTACTCAAGATTGCAGTATCTTGTCTCCTGAGGGTCATGAGGGCTATCTTAAGAGCATGCATATAACTGCATAGAAAATTTCTTTTTTTGTGTTTGTAATTCGACATTCAACCAATAGAGATTCGTATTTATATGTCTTTATAATACTAATAATACGTATTTTATATTAAGGTTGCTGGTTCGAATGATGTTCCTGTCTCCAACCAACATGTATCCCCTGGTTCTGGACTTATGCTTAGGAACAAATACTATTTTCAAGATGTCTGTTTGCATGAGAGACTATTGTTAAAACATAAACATTTCTAAATCTTTCTTCTATAATTTGATAACTCATGCAATGGGACAGAGAGTTTTAAGATTACCATACCGGTCTTGTGTTTGAGACTTTTATTTTACAGCAGCCGGAACTTTTGTATGGATAATGTTAATCTTAGACACAGATCTCGCTATCCAATGTGGGCATTTTTAAATCTAAAGATCAATATTTTATCTTGCAAGGTATGACCACGACGAGATAAAGTAGAGGAATTAAATTAATCATGAGATCTGATTAAGATGGAGATCAATAATGGATACTAAGAGTTACAATCCAAATGTTCTGAGTTTAGCCCATTTCCAGCTTTTATGCAATTTTAGTAAAAACTTTGTATGTTGAAGAAATAATACTGCCGTTAGTATATTTCAAGGCTCCCTCTGCTTACTGAATGACTTCTAAAAGATCAATTTTTTATACAAGGCTTTCATTTCAATACTGTTTTCAAGAGTTAGTCATCACAAAGTTTAATTCCATCCAAAATCTTTTAAAAATAGTTATTGTTATACAGAGGTCGGAGCTACATCACTCCAGCAGATTTGGATATGAGACATCTGGACCAAAACTAGACCTAGTTGGACCTTGGACCATAACTAGATAGATTAGACCTTGGTCCACAACTAGATAAGGTTGGACCTTGATCCAAAACTACATAAAGTTGAACCTTGGTCCACAACTAGATAAAGTTGGACCTTGGTCCAAAACTAGATAAAGTAGAACCTTAGTCCAAAACTAGATAAAGTTGGACCTTCGTCCAAAACTAGATAAAGTAGAACCTTGGTTCACAACTAGATAAAGTTGGACCTTCGTCCAAAACTAGATAAAGTAGAACCTTGGTCCAAAACTAGATAAAGTTGGACCTTGGTCCAAAACTAGATATAGTAGAACCTTAGTCCACAACTAGATAAAATTGGACCTTAGTTCACAGCTAGATAAAATTAGACCTTGGACCAAATCTCCTGTTTGGTGTTTTTTCAATATTTTTTGGAAATTTTTTTTTTTAACCTTTTCTTCTCTCCAAACCAGAAGTTCAGAAAAGCAAAAATGTGTATATATATTATTTATATCAAATTCTAAAATTTTATAAAGCTTTAATCACAGAATAACAGAAAATTTGCAAAATTTTAATAAGAAAATTCGCAGTTTTTAGTTCTGGTCTAATTTTTCAGTAAAAGTACTTTAAATAATCTATTACTTTTTTTCTCATTTTAATTTAAAGTTATACATATACACTGTTTAGTTTAACCCTGAAGAGCCATTGAAAAACAACTTTTCCCTAAAACTAGACCAGAACTGAAAATTGCGAATTTTTTTATTACAATTTTCAAGTTTTCTTTGATTCTGTAATTCAATATTTATAAAATTTTAGAATTTGATAAAAATAATATTTATACACATTTTTACTTTTCTGAACTTTTTGTGAGAAAAAAAAAGTTTTTCGTTTTTTTGGGCCTTAGGAGTACCAAAAAAAAATGTTCAAAAAATATTGAAAAACACCATACAGGAGAGTTGCATAAAAAGGTACAACTCTGCACCAGACGCCGCAAATCACACTTTTTTTACTTATCATGTATATGAATAATTTTGTTATGTACGATTTAATATTAAATTCTTTTTCTGATATTTTTCAATTATGGGTTTCCTGTAAAGTCACGTGCACATTTTTAAAGTTTGAAATACGCATTATTTTACATCATAATTATTATTATCATTATCCTAAATATGATATTCTAGCTCATGTGATTTTTCTTCTACATAAGGAAAAACAAAACAAATATGCAAACTGCGATAAAAAAATAATTGAAAATAAGATATTTTATCTTTAAAAATACGAACATGAAAAATAAAAATATATTCTAGAATCTGGAAACACAATCAACTTTATTTTTTGGCGATAATAATAATATTAAATTATAATAATATATGCCTCTTGTAATTTTACGAAACAACTGTTTTATTAAAACCAAGTTTGTTAGGTTCAGGAAGTTCATTTTAATTTTCTAAAAATATAAACCAAAAATATAAATGTAAGCAAACGAGGTTTAGCATCAACACAAAAATTACAATTCATAGTAATTTCAAAGCTACAGGAACTAGAAAATCTGAGTTTATGGCAAGAACTCGATCCAATTGATTACAGATGAAATTTTAAGATGTTTTCATTTAAAATCAAATCACTATAGCTGAAGCGCAAATTAAAAAGAAAAACAGAAGCAGGTTTTGTTTATCTAATGTATAAAGCAGATCGGCACGATTGTTTTAATGTCTGGATAAGGCTTCTGAACATTGACAATCTGAATCCATAAAACAATTTGCTAAATTAATGTTCAGCTCTACTCTGTTCAGGGTTCAGTTAAGGCTTAGGGCTTAACTTTACTCCGTGTTCAGGGTTCAGCTTGTATAGTTAAGGTTTAACTCTACCCTGTGTTTAGGGTTCAGCTTGTATAGTTTAGGTTTAACTCTAATCTGTGTTCAGGGTTCAGCTTGTATAGTTAAGTTTTATCTCTAATCTGTGTTCAGAGTTAAGCTTGTATATTTAAGGTTTAGCTCTAATCTGTGTTCAGGGTTCAGCTTCTATGGTTAAGGTTTATCTCTAATCTGTATTCAGGGTTCAGCTTGTATAGTTAAGGTTTAGCTCTAATCTGTGTTCAGGGTTCAGCTTGAATAGTTATGGTTTAACTCTACTCCGTGTTCAGGGTTCAGCTTGTATAGTTAAGGTTTAACTCTACTCTGTGTTCAGGGTTCAGATTGTATAGTTAAGGTTTATCTCTAATCTGTGTTCAGGGTTCAGCTTGTATAGTTAAGGTTTAGCTCTAATCTTTGTTCAGGGTTCAGCTTGAATAGTTATGGTTTAACTCTACTCCGTGTTCAGAGGTCAACTTGTATAGTTAAGGTTAAACTAAACTCAGTGTTCAGGGTTCAGCTTGTATAGTTATGGTTTAGCACTACTTCATGTTTAGGGTTCAGCTTGTTTAGTTAAGGTTTAACTCTACTCTGTGTTAAGGGTTCACCTTGTATAGTTAAGGTTTAGCACTACTCCGTGTTCAGGGTTCAGCTTGTATAGTTAAGGTTTAACTCTACTCCGTGTTCAGGGTTCAGCTGTATAGTTAAGGTTTAACTCTACTCCGTGTTCAGGGTTCAGCTGTATAGTTAAGGTTTAACTCTACTCCGTGTTCAGGGTTCAGCTTGTATAGTTCGGGTTTAACTCTACTCCGTGTTATGGGTTCAGCTTGTATGTTAAGGTTTAACTCTACTCCGTGTTCAGGGTTCAGCTTGTATAGTTAAGGTTTAACGTCTCTCCGTGTTCATAATTAAGCTTGCATAGTTTAGGTTTAACTCAACTCAGGGTTCAGTTATCATAGCTTTCCAGGCTCATACTCATTCTTAAATCTCCAGAGCTGAAAACTTTAGAATGTGATATCCTTAATCTTGCTCTCTTAATTAATCTGAAGATTAAAAATGAGAGGAGAACAAGCAATATTTAATCTGGATATTAAGAAAAAGAGTGGATTAAGCATTAATCCCGATATCCACCATTCTAAAGTTTTCAGCTCTGGCTATCTATCTTTCCATCTATCTATCTGCTATAAATCGTTCTATTTATTCTAATATTCTATATATTTATCTATCTGTCTATAAATTTATCTATTAATCGACCTTTTATTAAAACTATTTTTACAAATAAGCAAACTTGACAAACTTGATTTAGAAATAGAAATGAGAGTAAATGTTATAAAGATTTATTGAACAATGTATTGAATTGTCTATCTATCTTTTATATTATCATGAGTTCACGAGATACATTGAATTGTATGATTTATTCAAAAAATAAGTTTTTTTTATTTCTTTGTATTTTCAATGTATCATTTACTCTCAGACAAATTAGAATCAATGGAAATCCCGTTCCATTTCCATTTCCATTGATTCTAATTTGTCTGAGATTAAATGACATTCCTTTTTAAAGAGGGGATTCAATGATAAATCCGAGGGCTTGCGGATTTTGCGGATTTTTTTGTTGCCTTTGCAGATTTTCAAAGTATCTTTTAATGAAAATATCCCGGCGGGATTAAATGAAAATTGTTGCATACCAAAAAACCAGCTTTTTATAAACGAATGGCAATTTGTATTATTATTGTATTGTTATATATCATCAGCTAAATACCTGACATTTTCGGAAGAATATTTAAATAGTTTTACTCCATCACTTCTTATTTTTATTCCCATCCGTTTTCTTTCCCATCCTCTTCCATACCCTCCACCCCTATCCGTCCCTGTATTCCACTTCCTATCCCTCCTCTCCTTTATTTTCCTCTATCCAAACCCACCCAACACTATCCTTTTCCTTTCCCATCCTGTTCCGTATCCTCCACCCCTTTCCGTCCCTGTATTTCACTTCCTATCCCTCCTCTCCTTTATTTTCCTCTATCCAAACCCACCCAACACTATCCTTTTCCTTTCCCATCCTGTTCCGTATCCTCCACCCCTTTCCGTCCCTGTATTTCACTTCCTATCCCTCCTCTCCTTTATTTTCCTCTATCCAAACCCACCCAACACTATCCTTTTCCTTTCCCATCCTGTTCCGTATCCTCCACCCCTTTCCGTCCCCTGTATTTCACTTCCTATCCCACCTCTCCTTTATTTTCCTCTATCCACATCCACCCAACACTATCCTTTTCTTCCCTTCATTGAACCTCCATTACTAATCCACTCTCTTCTTGGCCTTTTCACCACCGTGTTCCCCCCCCCTCTCTCCTTCCCTATTCCTCCGTTCCATTCCATGTACACCCCTGTCCTATTCATTCTCCCCTCCATATTCTACTCTCCCTTCTATCTCCGCTTCTCTCCCCACCCTTCCTCTATTCCCCCTTTCTCTATCTTTACCCAACTTTCTTTCCCTACCCGGCCCTTCTTCAATCCTTTCCCCCTTTCTTTCTTTATCACTTGTTCTCTATATTTATTTCTTTTTATCACGGCTCCTTCTATAATTTGTTCACAAGCAATCCCTATACGAATAAAGTTGAAGATAGAGAAGACGAACCTAACAAGATTATTATAATATATAGAAGCCTAGGTAGTGTATTAGAACATCCCTATATTTCCCTAGTATCCTACTCAAACATATATTCACTGCTTTCTCTCTATACGAACTAGACAACTTCGTCAATATTGGAACATCCCTAGTTTGTGCCTAGGCTTTATTTAGCTTCTTACCTGGCGTGTTGTACAGGATAGAGTGATATCTTAGGTAGGTCAACCCAGGTGTACATATATTGTTTTTACCTGGACTTTTAATATTTTACCTTTTAAAAGTTATCACTTGCGTTTTTGTTCCACTGTAGGTAACTTAATATACATTGTAAAGTTAAAATATTTTAGACATAATATGTTTGAGTGAATATTCGGCATAAAAAGTGAACTAGTGAACTAAGCGTACTACTTAGTTAAAAGTTAACACTTTGCAAATTATAATTTAAAGTTTACACTTTTCAATTATATTTTGAAGTTATGACTTGCAATTTTAGTCTACAGTAAACACTTTGCAATTATAATTTGAAATTAACACTTTGCAATTATAATTTGAAATTAACACTTTGCAATTATAATTTGAAATTAACACTTTGCAATTATAATTTGAAATTAACATTTTGCAATTATAATTTGAAATTAACACTTTGCAATTATGATTTAAAGTTAACACTTTGCAATTATGATTTAAAGTTAATAATTTGAAATTATAGTTTACAGTTATGACTTTGCAATTATAGTTTAAAGTAAACACTTTGCAATTATAGTTTAAAGGGACCACTTTCCAATTACAGTTTAAAGTAAACACTTTGCAATTTTATTTAAAAGTGAGCACTTTGCAATTATAGTTGAAAGTAACACTTTGCAAGTATAGTTTAAAATTAAGACTTGGCAATTATAGTTTAAAATTAACACTTTACAATTACAGTTAAAAGTAAAACTTTGCAATGTCATTGAAAAGTGAGCACTTCGCAATCATAGTTTAAAGTAACACTTTTCAATTATAGTTTAAAGTAACACTTTGCAATTATAGTTTAAAGTAACACTTNTACAGTTTAATGTGAACACTTTGAAATTATAGTTTAAAGTGAATACTTTGACATTACAGTTTAATGTGAACACTTTGCAATTATAGTTTAAAGTGAATACTTTGCAAATACAGTTTAATGTGAACACTTTGCAATTATAGTTTATAGTAAAGTACTTTGCATGTATATTATCAGAATTTAACCTTTTTCGTGATATATAAAACTTTTCTCATGATTTAAAGAGTAACGTCGTAAATCGTCTTTTTCTTAATGGAGGGTCAGCTCTACATGTACAGTCTAACGTGAATATGTGTACCGCGTAACCCCGTACAGAAAACAAAGTACATTATCACTGAATTGAATTTATTCCAAAGAGAATGGAATATATATTAGAGTGGAATTTAAACAATTCCTCGGTATGAATTTAGTCAGTCCCTTTCAGTCTGAAAGGGAGTTCAAAGTGCACAAATCATGTAAATGTTCACAAATTATATGCAGTAGAGTACACAAATACAGTATGTTCCTTAGACTATCCATTTCAATTTCGATTTTTTTAAAGCTGTTAAATAAACTTTATAAATAAAAATACATCATTTGATTTATAGTTATAAAGGAAAATCATCATTTGTAAAGTAAAAGGCATAGAGTCGTTGTAAAATGATCATTGGTCAATTATGAAACCAGCCTATTTCATAAGTTGGTTTTCTTTTAATATTAATTTTACACTTTTTTTTAGTAAATTCCACTCTAATATATATTCTATTTACTTTGATTATCACATATCAAAATATCAATATTAACCAAAAGGTTTGTTTGACACTTACTTAAATGTAGTCAAAGGTTTGTTTGACACTTAGTTAAATGTTGTCTTTGGGAGTACAAATCGATTTGGCAAAGAAAAAAATATTTGAACATGCAGGGTACCAGGAGTACATTCGTCTCTGAATGCTAATTCCAAAGAGAATAGAATATATATTAGAGTGGAATTTACTAGAAAAAAGTGTAAAACGGCCATTTTGTTGTACTGTTTCCATACTGCAGATGTACTTCACATAGTTGTGCTATAACCTTTTGGGCCCTGGAATATCATTTTATAGAAAATCTAACTACTATAAATCAGATGATGTTTTTATTGATAGTCTAGGGAACATACTGTATTAATGTACTCTACTGCATATAATTTGTGTACATTTACATGATTTGTACACTTTGAACTCTGATTGACAAAATTAATACCGAAGGATTTCCTAAATTTCACTCTAATGTATATTCTATTCTCTTTGGCTAATTCTTTGTGGGCCACCCTGTGGCCTGTATATAATGGACGGTGAAAATGAATTACAGTAAAGTAACAATGACATAATTCTGTACAGTGTACATAAAAAATACATTTGTGACACATTTTTTTAATTCTAAGTGAACATTTTACACTTTGTAATACATGCATTTGATATATATATACATAAACATTTTATGTACATTTTATATGTCTTAAAACGTTTACTTTACTTTTTATAAATATAAACAAACTTAAAGATAAATCTTAACGAACTGAGCGACAAAAAAGGTTGAAGGTGAATCTTGTGTATCAAATTTCCACTTTATCTATCTATCTATCTATCTATCTATCTATTTTTCTATTGTCCATTTATCTGTCTGTTTATTTGTCTCATGATTTATTTGTCTTTTTCTCAATTTGTCTATTTGTCTATTTTTCTATTGTCCATTTATCTGTCTGTTTATTTAACTCATGATCTATTTGTCTTTTTCTAAAATTGTCTATTGTCTATTTTTCTAATTGTCTATTCGTTTTTTTTGTCCATTTCTCTTTGTGTTTATCTGTATATGCCTGTTTATCTGTCTGTATATCTTTATGTATTTGTCCGTCGGTCTATATATTTAATGTCCATCTGTCTGTGTTTTTGTCTAAATTTATCTTGTCTATCTGTTTATCTGTCTATTTGTCTTTCTGTCTATATTATATGTCTTTCTATCTATCTGTCTATCTGTCTATCTGTCTATATGTCTATCTGTCTATCTGTCTATCTGTCTATATGTCTATCTGTCTATCTGTCTATCTGTCTAATTTTCTATCTGTCTATTTCTCTATATGTCTATCTGTCTATATGTCTATCTGTCTATCTGTCTAATTGTCCATCTGTCTATCTGTCTATATGTCTATCTGTCTATCTGTCTAATTGTCTATCTGTCTATCTGTCTATCTGTCTATCTGTCTGTCTGTCTATATGTCTATCTGTATATCTGTCTATCTGTACGCTGTGTATATATAATAGCTGGAGTAGAGCCGGTATTTTCTGGGCAGAGAAAATCTGAAAAATTGCTTTTTTCCGGATACTGTACTTTCTACACAGTGTATCAGGCAATAAACCAGGGTGTCCCAATAATCAAGGATTGAAATGACGAAAGCAAAGTCGTCTTTAGTATCCATCTTATTTTGGGATTTCGAGATTTTTAAGCACGAATGATGTCTACACTGTACAGGTATTGGGACAACCAGCGCCTCTTACAGCTTTAAAACATTTTTTACAATTTAAACAGTTTTGACAAGTTTTTAAGTTGTAAACATGCATAAATGCACACAACTTTTAAATTAAAAATATTTTATCGGAAATGTTTATCGTCTAGATTTCTTTTTAATTTAATTTCATGTACCAGCCTGTTATTTCTATTTGTTAGATTAAATTAAAAAATAAAGAATTACATATTGCAGTAAAATGTGTAGTATATACATATTGTATATCTACTATGTTTATTTAGATGAATAGTATAGTAAAAGCATAATTTAAACATAAATGTAAACTAAATAGTATACAGAGACGAAAGGTCATTATACTTAAAGACGGTCTGATTCGATTAAATCAAGTTAATTTGAAATTTGAAAATATATTTTCTACTTTCTGATTTATTTTCCTATTTCAGGGTTTACTTGTGTATAAGGAGGAGAGGAGGGTTTATAGTATACATCATGGACCCAGAGTCATTTCTAGACCTGGCTAACCAGGTATTCATTCACAAGGGGGGGGGGCTCGGGGAAATCCTCCCTGAACTTTACATATTTCTAGACCTGGTTAACCAGGTATACATTCAAAGGGGGGGGGGTCGGGGTAATCCCTCTTATTTACAGGCGGACCCGGGGGTAATTTCCCCCCCCCTGTCTGGAAATGTTATCCCTACNGAGGGGCTCGGGACAATCCCCCTGAACTTTACATATTTCTAGACCTGGCTAACCAGGTATTCATTCACAGCAAAGGGGGGGAGGGCTTTGGGCAATCCCCCCTGAACTTTACATAATTCTAGACCTGGCTACCCAGGTACACATTCAAGGGGGGAGGGGAAGTCCCCCTCTGAACTTAAATATTTCTAGACCTGGCTTACCAGATATAATTTACGGGAATGTCCGGGGGGCAACATCCCCCCCCCCCCCTAAACTATTCATTTCTAGACCTGGCTAACCAGGTATACATTCAAAGGGGGGGGGGTCGGGGTAATCCCTCTTATTTACAGGCGGACCCGGGGGTAATTTCCCCCCCCCTGTCTGGAAATGTTATCCCTACCTAAATTTTTTATTGGGAAATTTGAGTTTTCTATTTTAACAGTTTTCAGCTTTCTTATTCTTTCTTATTCTTAATTCCCATTTACTATTGCCTCAAGCTCTAGGTTTCTAAATATATCATTGCAACCTGCGGGTGTAAATCTTTGATATTTTGAAGATACAAGGAAAATAAATTTAGATTCTTCAGTTTTATCTTTCTAGGTAACGAAGCTGAAGATGTATCCTTACTTTGACCTGGCGCACGCTGCTCTCTGCTGCTTAGCGGTCAAAGAAGACCTTTCTGTAGGTTAACGCCTTTTATACTTAACGGGGACTGTCTACGTACTTTCAAGTGGACCTCTAGTTAGATAAGGATATGCCTGATTCACAACGGTACCATTATAGTTATTAGAAAAATACGGATGAAAACCTTTTGCCTAACACCAACAAACAATTCTAGAAATGACAAGAAACAATAAATCTAGGGTTTCCTATTTCATCCGGATCACATTGGAAATGTAACGGAACTTTAAAGGGAGAGACTGGCTAGACATGGTAGTTGAGTTGAAAGTGCAGTATTGTAGAGAACTTTTTTTAGGATTTAATTCATCATCAATCATCATAGTTGTTTAAGAACATATTTTTCAATAGCAAGGAATGTAGTCTTTGACACAAACTCCGATTTATGAATACCTATATCTTTGCAACCCAATGTCGTAGACCTTAAATATTTCAAACTATGAATTATTCTAGATCAAATATCAAAGTTTCAAATTTCAAAGGTTAACTCCATCATGTTGCAAAGAAATAGGGATTAGACCTTTTTTGTTTGTGGCAAAGATTCAATTGCTGTGTAAAGAAAAACAATAGATCAGAATGAATTTTTTCTTTACCGCCATTATATTGAATTTCTTTACCGCCATTATATTGAATTTTTTCTTTACCGCCATTATATTGAATTTCTTGCTATTTACAAATTCACTTAACAAGTAATTATCATTGTAGAATTGTGTTGTATTACGACTTCAAGTAATGTTGCTTAAATTGTCTCCCTATTCCACAGTTTTATGTGTACCACCGTAGAGTATTCTTTTATATGAATAATTTTTATATTTCCAGGATCTCAGCCCTTTTCCAGGAAACATCCCTTATCTTTATGGGCCAGCAGTATGCTAGGTAAATGTACAGTTTTTGTTTGTTTACATGCATGCCAAGAAGCTTGTTTACATTATTACCCATCTTTTACGTTTATTTTAATAATACAATTTTATACCACAAAGTTATTGAACACAAACAAAATTCAATGCTTTTACATAATTTTACATAATTATTTTTATGTTTAGTTATTTTCTCCGGTGGTATCCTAGCAAACCTGGACCTTGGAGAACCTGTTCTTTAATTGTTTTTATGTTTAGATATTTTCTCCGGTGGTATCCTAGCAAACCTGGACCTTGGAGAACCTGTTCTTTAATTGTTTTTATTTTTAGTTATTTTCTCCGGTGGTATCCTAGCAAACCTGGACCTTGGAGAACCTGTTCTTTAATTGTTTTTATGTTTAGTTATTTTTTCCGGTGGTATCCTAGCAAACCTGCTCCTAGGAGAACCAGTTCTTGCTCCGCTTAAAGCAAACAACCAACTTCTACTTTCCACAGTTGTTTGGTGAGTATTCATCTTTCTACAGTTGTTTGGTATGTATTAATCTTTCTACAGTTGTTTGGTAAGAATTAATCTTCTAAAGTTGTCTGGTAAGTATAAATCTTAATACAATTACTTGGTTTGTATTCATGTTTCAAATAATACTCTACAGTTCTGTGATGCATTTATTGCTTATTAATTATAATTATGTATTTCAGGTTGCTAAGATTATTTCTTTAGGTATTTAGTTTTCTATTCTCCTTTTGATGTTGGTTTCAAGTTTTTCAAGTTTCTGCCGGTTAAAATAGTCTGCTCTGCACTCAAGGAGGTGTATAGGTAAGTACATGTACGGGTACAGTCAGGTACAGGTACAGTCTCTCATCTCTTTAATGTAAAGGGCTAAGAAGGTTCATGATGGAGTTACACACGCTGCTAAACTGTTCCCTAACGCCTACGTGATTATGATTGCTGTTGGAGCTATCAAGGGGAACGGAGCTGGTTTTATCAAGGTTGGAGAAAGGTTGTTTAGAGGTGTCTGGACTCCTACTGCCATGGAGTTCCTTGTTCCTAATTTGTAAGTATTTATTGAATTTACAATTCGAACAATAGAATAATACAGATTGTTTTAGTTCTACCAAAGCCTCAATGCTCGCTGCGCTCGTGTTTGTTGTTGACAAGAAGACGGATTTAATCTCAGCTCCTCATGCTCTCGTTTATTTCGGAATTGTTCTGTTTTTCGTTTATTTCAAGGTAAATTCTACTTTAATTCATATAAATTAATAATAAATAACTAAATTTTACAACATCTCTCATCGTCACAAGTGGGTTAAATTAAATTACTTCAGGATTTCCTCTTTTGTTGAATAGATTCATTTTCTGCCACCATAAACTATTCAAAAATGTGAAGATATACTATTTCAGTTGTACTAATAATAAATTCTAACAAGCTGTCCCAAATGTCGCTACAAATGGGTTTAAGTCAGCTAATTAGTTGATCTTTTTTTTGTAAATAAACAAAAGTAAAAATGGCTTGGGGTCACGTTTAGTTATTTTTTTACCAACATTTAGTTACTTTACGTCTCTTGGGACAATGAAGTAAAATAATCACCCGCTTTGTAAAGCTTTCATGAAAAATTTACGCATTTTTATCTAAAAGACGATACAATTTCGGGAAATTAAAAATTTTACTTCACCACATGTTATCTCGCAGAGCTCTGGATATTTTGTAGGCAAAATTGTTCTTGAGATCCCCTGGTAAAGTAAAATTTTCTTACGTTCCCTGTAGAGTTTTTACTAGAGGTTTTTAGTCGGAAATATATATTCATGGTAATTTTGAGAAATTTTTATAAAATTGTCATTAATGGATTAATTTTGTCACTATTTCAGTTGTCCTCCCTTCTACTGGGAATCACTGATCCCTTTGTTCCATTTGAAAACCTGTTCTGCGCTGTCTTCATGGGAGGACTATTCGATGTTATTCAGGGAAGGGTTAAACCACGTTTTAGCTTTTTGTGCAACGAGACAGATAAGTCTGTGGAATAAGAAGACGACATATAAACAATTTCATGTGTATTTCATGTTGTCGTAGAGCAATTAGTCAACTTAAGTGTAATTGGGTTTGTGTAAGTTTTATTTGACTATAAAATTTTTTATGCATATAAACTTTTTTCTTTGTCTCTATATTAAAAAAGTCAACATTTTTCCACTTAACATTTTGTTTTTTGGGTTTTAAAATAATGATCATTTCAAAAAATAAAATTCTATTTTATGTTTCATCTTTTAAAATGTGAATTTTTTTTAACACTGATTTAACACCCTCTGGGTTCAGGAAACATTCTATGGTAAGCCCAAGACCGAAGAAAACGGCGAGGTTGCTAAGCCCAAAGCTGAATAAAGAAACCCCAGTCCTAAATCCAAAATGTGTGTCTGTGAAAATTAAAAAGAGACGTTTGAGTTTTTGAAATGGTGCAAAGGACTACGCACAAGTTTTTCTTTTCATTTTTCAAGAATTGCAATCTCTCTCTTTATGGAGGAAACAAAGATTAGATGTTTGTAAATATTTGTGAATAAATTTATTAAAAAAATACAGAAATTTAATAATTCATAAAAAATACCAAATAAAGATTCCTTTTTCTAGAAATTCAAAGATTCAAAAAATTGCCTATTTCTCACCGCATGTAATTAAAGTTACATTTAATTGCTACATTCCAATCTATCCAATTTAAGTTAAGTTAAGAAAATAAAAGTGAATAAAAACCGACAATCAAAATATCAGAAAATTAATAAAATAAGGTAAAAAAAAATCAAAAGTATAACCTACAAATTTAGAATAATAACATATTAGAATAATGATATGAATTCCTCTAAAATACATTTTCGACATTTTTATTACAATTGTGTATAAAGGGGGCTATGCACATTTTAAAGTAAGAAAAGATGGAGGGGAAGGGGGTTGGTGTAAGGTCTATAAACATGTTAAAGTAAGAAAAGATGGAGGGGGGGGGGTTGGTATAAGGTCTATAAACATGTTAAAGTATGATGCTCCCATCCTTTGTTAACCCGAACACCAGCTCCCTGTTCACGAACCATTCTCCCAATTTTTACCCAAGTCTCCTGCTCAAACAAAAAAATTTAAGCTTTTAAAGAGACTGATTTGCGTTTGATTCTAATACTTTTTATGCAGTAGAAATGCGCAAGTCACTTTTGTAGAGAAAACACAATTGAAAATAATAAGCTTTCTGATTTATAAACATTAATATCAAAGTCATATTTAAACAAAAAAAGAGTACCCTTGTGAATCGGACAATGTCTCTTTGGATGAAGGGTCAAGCTTGAAATTACGCCTGCAGTCCCTTCAAGCTTTTTTTTACAAATTTTTGTTGCATACAAAATGAAAAAATAAATTTAAAAAAAAGAATATTTTACCTTTTCTAGTTTCAAAATTTCTCCCTGTCCATCCCAGACAATAAGGACTTTATTCAAGAAACTCATCTTGAAATAAAATATAAAGAAAATGATTAGTCGCCTCTGCTGGGCCAACGTTTGATTTATTAATAGTTGCAAAGATAAAGCGATTATTAAATAAGAATTTGAGGCAAGTATACAGTTCTGTCGAAAAAAGTTTAAACTGGGAAGAAAATATTAAACAAGTTTGATTCATAATTTGCTCTTATTGTTGAAAGTAAAAAACATTTTAGAAAATCTCTTATAAACAAAATTTAGGACAATTAATTAAAAAGAATTTTGTTTTTTAAATTGCACAAAATTAAAATAGTAGAAAAGTAGAAATTTCAATTTAAAGATGTTCGAAACAGATAAACAGCTGGTAAGAAATGATATATAAAACGTTATACCTGGGGCTGCCATTGAATATCTAATAAATGGGCTTTTTTTCTGTCCAACACTCGACCTAAGGCATTAAATATATTATTAATATAGGCTTTAAGGGTGCTTTGCTCCCCTTTTTTAAGTAACAATTTTAGTTACCATTTCAAGGACTTTACTGTCTAAATTTGCGGGTTTTAAAAAATATTGAATGGTGACATTTTTTTCCACGCAAAAGATGTCATCTTTAAAAATCAAGTTGCCACAAAAAAGTTTTGGCCACATCGGTTCAGTCAGCTGTTTTGACGTTTTTTGACACAAACAAACCAACAAGAAAGGTATATATAGATTATATAATTGTACTAGCTTGGGGACCCAGCTTTACCTGGAAACTAAACTTTTGCTATAAAAATCAACACACTTAACTTAATATTTAATCAGTCTAAGGATACACCTATGGTTTAAATAAGTTCCTCACTCAAAACTTTAGACAACTTTAAAATAACCTTGTTTGAGTTACTAATTTAAAGAAAAGTATACCTGCTGTAAAAGTTAAAGTGTGAAATGACTTATCTCCAAGCACAAGAAGGTCACTAAATAAATAAGTTAAAGTGTTAAATGACTTATCTCCAAATACCAGCAGGTCACTAAAAAAATAAGTTAAAGTGTGAAATGTCTTATCTCCAAGCATAAGGAGATCACTGAATAAATAAGTTATAACGTGTGAAATGACTTATCTCCAAGTACCAGCTGATCACTAGATTTAACATGTGAAAAGTCTTATCTCCAAGCACCAGCAGATCCCTAAATGAATAAATTAACATGTGAAATGACTTATCTCCAAGTACCAGCAGATCACTAAATAAATAAGTTAACATGTGAAATCACTTATCTCCAAGTACCAGCAAATCACTAAATAAATAAGTTAACATGTGAAATGTCTTATCTCCAACACCAGCAGATCCCTAAATGAATAAATTAACATGTGAAATGACTTATCTCCAAGTACCAGCAGATCACTAAATAAATAAATTAACATGTGAAATGACTTATCTCCAAGTACCAGCAGATCCCTAAATGAATAAATTAACATGTGAAATGACTAATCTCCAAGCACCAGCAGATCCCTAAATAAATAAGTTAACATGCGAAATGACTTATCTCCAAGTACCAGCAGATCACTAAATAAATAAGTTAACATGTGAAATGTCTTATCTTCAAGTACCAGCAGATCCCTAAATAAATATATTAACATGTGAAATGACTTATCTCCAAGTACAAGCAGATCACTAAAAAAATAAATTAACATGTGAAATGACTAATCTCAAAGCTCCAGCAGATCACTAAATAAATAAGTTAATGTGCGAAATGACTTATCTCTAAGTACCAGCAGATCACTAAATAAATAATTTAAGTCAGTTTAAAAAGGTTATACCTGTCAGTTTAAATAGTCTGTACCTGGATCCAGGTATACTATGGTATACTAGTACAGGATCCTGTCAGTTTAAATAGTGTGTACCTGGATCCTGGTATACTAGTACAGGATCCTGTCAGTTTAAATAGTCTGTACCTGGATCCTGGTATACTAGTACAGGATCCTGTTTCTGTACCTGGATCCAGGTATACTAGTACAGGATCCTGTCAGTTTAAATAGTTGTACCTAGATCCAGGTATACTACTACAGGATCCTGTCCGTTTAAATAGTCTGTACTTGGATCCAGGTATACTAGTACAGGATCCTGTCAGTTTAAATAGTCTGTACCTGGATCCAGGTATACTAGTACAGGATCCTGTCTGTTTAAATAGTGTGTACTTGGATCCAGGTATGCTAGTACTGGATCCTGTCAGTTTAAATAGTGTGTACCTGGATCCTGGTATACTAGTATATGATCTTGTCAGTTTAAAAAGTCTGTACCTGGATCCTGGTATACTAGTACAGGATCCTGTCAGTTTAAATAGTCTGTACCTGGATCCTGGTATACTAGTACAGGATCCTGTCAGTTTAAATAGTCTGTACCTGGATCCTGGTATACTAGTACAGGATACTGTCAGTTTAAATAGTCTGTACCTGGATCCTAGTATACTAGTACAGGATCCTGTCAGTTTAAATAGTCTGTACCTGGATCCAGGTATTCTAGTACAGGATCCTGTCAGTTTAAATAGTCTGTACCTGGATCCTAGTATACTAGTACAGGATCCTGTCAGTTTAAATAGTCTTTACCTGGATCCTGGTATACTAGTACAGGATCCTTTCAGTTTAAATAGTCTGTACCTGGATCCAGGTATACTAGTAAAGGATCCTGTCAGTTTAAATAGTCTGTACCTGGATCCTAGGTATACTAGTACAGGATCCTGTCAGTTTAAATAGTCTGTACCTGGATCCTGGTATACTAGTACAGGATCCTGTCAGTTGACCGGAAATCTCTTCAGGTTCAGATATAATCTTCCACTAATTGATCAAAAATAATTCTATTATTTTCTTCCTCTTTGTATCGTAAATTCAAAATTATCAATTTTTGGATAGAAAAAGAAGAATTTCTTCATAATTTTGTTTAATACAAATGTTTTAAGATTGAAAGTATCCAATTTAACTAAAAATTTAGTGGTTTTTCCAGAATTGTCTTACTTCCACTTTTTCCAGTGTACAATCTTTTACTGAATTATCCATTATTTTCTTTATAGAATCTTCCAATAAATCCATTATTTTCTTTATAGAATCTTCCAATAAATCCATTATTTTCTTTATAAAATCTTCCAATAAATCCATTATTTTCTTTATAAAATCTCCCAATAAATCCATTATTTTCTTTCTAAAATCATACAATAAAACCATTTTTTCTTTATAAAATCTCCCACTTAATTTTTTTCTTGATAAATTTATTTTTGAAGTGAGTTTGTTCAAGTACAAACTAGAAGTTTTTTTAAATTCTATTTCATCAAGTTAAGTAAACTTTGTTAACTCTCGAGGAAAAATAAAATAAAAGTTGCAAAAGACAGTTTTCTAAAAACTTTTCTAATCTTTTCCTCACTTTGAACAAAACTTTATCAAAGAAAAAAAACAAGTTATTGTCAAAATAATTGAAAATCTGTTTCCAATTCTAATTCTTTCTGTACAATAAATGTTTGATTTAAATAATAGATGTAACAACGTACATTGCAATAGAAATAGATTGCTAATTAATTTAAGAGACTGTAAGCATAATTTTAAGTGAATTCAATGTTGGCAATGTCAGATTTTCTGACCAATTATATGTACAGCCGTAGTACATTTGAATTTCCGAGCCGGGTCAACCTTTCCGGTCCCAGTTTGTACTGTATCGCCCAGACATTGGGTAAATAAGGCAGACATTCATAGGACTACTTGGTGCAACAAGGTTGACGCGGTCAGACATTAGGTTGAATTTATTTTCACTAAAGGGTCAGAGGTGCGTGTGTAAAATATAGCAATTTTTACGTTTAAAAGTTTTATTTCCTAATTTCCTAGTAAAAATGTGCGAAATATTTGGGGAATAAAACCAAAAATGAAAACATAATCAAATTTTAAATTATAAAAATTAACATATAATTCATTCTTGAAGAGGTAGGATAGGCTGTTTTGAATCGGGCAATTCCATCTTTGCATGGAGGTTCTAATGAAATTACTCTTACAGTTCCTTTTGACCAAAGAACTCCTACAATTTTTCATTTTTAATATTTTTTTTATTGTTTAGCTAAAAAAATTTTGAACATATTCTCTTACTTTTTGTGTATATGGCCAAATAAAGATTTTTAAAAAATCGTGAATTAACCCTTTTGTTATTGAAAAAGTTTAAATTTAGTTTATTTTGAATTAATTTCCTGCTTATGTTTGAGACTATAAACCTGGATAGGTGTGGAGTAACTAATCCTTAATATACAATCATATATTTATGCATTTAATGCAACTAATTCATCTCATCATAATGTTTCTTACATTTATATCTTTGCAACCTGATGTTGGAAACCTTTGATGTTTGTAGCTTTTATTCTGTTAAATTAAAGGACCGAAGTTTACGCAATCAAGTTGCAAAGATATAAGGATTTGAAACTGAGAGTTTGAGGCTATAGTGTTTGTTGTAAGCTCTATTTGTCTGTTTGTTTGTTTGTCTGATCATAACTCGGAAACCACTGATTCACCTCGAATTTTGATTGGGGAACTTGGGAGAGTCATGTTCTTAGCTTGGGTTTGTGAGTCTAAGTTGAGTGGGTCGACTTTTTGGGAATTTTAGCTAAAATCGTAATTTACGACAAGAGGCGTCTGAACGGTGGGATATGACTCCCATGGTCTACGCTGGGTTCCCAAAAACTTAGAATTAGAATTGTATATTTTCCTATTTAGCTGGTTCCTGGTTCCGCCAAGTACAAGAAAATAGTCAAGGAGCCCAGCCCCACAGCTGGCCAACCAGGGGGAGGGGAGGGAGGAACCAATCTCCCATTTTCCGCCAGAAAATATCTGAAGCCTGTTTAAATAGCGAAATATTCTAATATTAGACGAAACCACATCAAAATATGCGATACATTGCTTTTTTGTAACGCATTATCAACCCATGGATTCCCGCCTGCCAATTCTATAAATTTGTGGGGGTCGTTGTTACAAAGAATTTCCGTGGGAAATTAATTAATTTAACTTTCTGCTTTGATAAATTTTCTTCAAAAATTGCGGGTTTTTTATTAAACTATGATTTTAAATATTGTATATTTTTACTGAAAATTCATTTGGTTTACCGTCCCATTTTGCATCAAATATTAGCAGTTCTGTACAATTTACTCTATTAGATGATTGAAATGAACTTGAAGTGAAGCGGAGTTCAGCTGTTACTTCACAGTGATTGGGGAAATCAAACTTTCTACTTCGTCTCAGGATTCTAATTTGACCAGATGCCCCGGACAAAACATATTCATTAAAGATAGAAAATTTCATATTAAAAAATATCATATTTCATTCCTATTGTCTGCTGAAGGTGAACCTCCTCCTGCGATCAGAAACTTTCCTGTTAAAACCCAAAACAAGGTTAAAGAGATGATTTAGAGCAAAGACGATTTAGGATTCTTAAAGGAGGGGGAGGGCTAAAATGAATTGAATCGTTGTCACAAATCTGATTTTCTGATCTCTATATATCTTTGCAACCCAATGTTTCAAACTATGAATTATGTTAGATCAAATCATCTCAGTTTTAAATATCAAATGTTCACCTTTAACTTCAGGTTATAAAAATATTCAGATAAGAAAATTTCATTTTGTGGCTCAGACTCAATTTCTTTCTTTATGGTTTACCAATGTAGAAGAAGAACTTAATTTTAGAGTTTCAAAAATGTCCCAGAAAAATAAAATTAAATAAAATTAATTGTATTTAGGTTCCTTGAACACTAGCGTAGGCTGGGAATGCAACTCCCCACAGTAAACTAATTTCTGGAATCCAGGATCTAAACATAATCATCCAGGATATAAACATAATCATCCAGGATATAAACATAATCATCCAGGATCTAAACATAATCATCCAGGATATAAACATAATCATCCAGAAAAAAAAGTTTTAAAAAATTGGTTTTAACGTATTTTAATAAAAACTATGATAAGGCAATAGGGCATACAGGAATTTTCTAGGGAGGGGGAGCTGGAGCCACCCCCCCCCCCTTCCCCCATTGTTCACGCCTTTAAAAACAGGTATAAGTTTATGATTAAAACTCTTAAAGTTGTATTAAAGTCAACTGTTCATTTTTTTTTTACTTCAATTTTCCAACAATGCATATTGCTAAATCAAAAAGTCAAAGTTTGAAACTTCATAGGTTTTAACAATCAACTTACAAAGTTAAAAGAAAATTAGAGTTCGGGGCGAGTCATCATTTCCTTTTCTACACAGTGCATATAATCTGATTTGTTGTAAATTATGTACTTTGTACATAGTAAATAATATATATACCTGGAGTGAGGGAAAAGTACCCAACATTCAACTCGAACCCTGGTTTTTGTATCAAACTTTTTCTTTTGAAAATAAAAGAACAGAATTTTGACATTTAAAAAAGATTTTAACTCTAATTTTGTCATCGTATTTGTTGGCTTAATAAAACTGAAAAAAATGAGGTTAGAAAAATTCTGATTCTCTTTTCAACCCAATGTCTTAGACGAACTTTGATATTTCAATCTTGTGGGTGGGTTGGAGAGTGTGTGACACCGATTCTCGTAAGATCACTGAAATTAAGCACACTTGTCCCCAGCCAGTAACTGGATTAGTGTCCAGAATGTTGTTCACGAGTTCGATTCCCGTACTCCACACAAACCTTTGGCTTCAAAAACTTCTGAAGTTGACATCTGGTTCAGCAGTTATGACAAGCTGACGGAGGGGCGTCTGTCAACAACTCTCTCAGCGAAAGGGTGCCTGCTTTCTACTCAACAAGAAAGAAGCATTTAAGTGGATTGATCCAAGTGAATGATGATGAGGAGAGGAATGGTGGACAAGCAGGGAAAGTCTATTATTGCCAGCTAGAGGTACCTGGGGGTATCCAATCCGGGTTTACAGATGTTAGGGAGCAATGAGTGTGATGTATATCAGAAGGATTCCTAAGAATCTTAGGCAGCTGGATTCTTGTCAGCCTTTGAATGAATGAAGCGTGGATGGATGAATGTGGTTCCAGATTACAACCCCTGGTAGATTAATAAAAAAAACCAGCCAACACCAAACTTTCGCAATAGAAAAAAATCCGAGATTTGATCGTAACAACCCGATCATGTCCTGGGGACAAAAAAAATCTCTTTTAAAAGATATTTCAATCTACGAATACTGTTAGCTCAAATAATCTAAGTTTGAAATATCAAAGGTTAACACCAACCAGTTGCTAAGATATATATAGGGACACAAAACTTTGAGTTTTTGCCACAGATTCAATACCTTTGGTTCTCTTTAATTTTTTGAATGAAAACTTTCCTGTTAAGATTGTCTATTCCTCCGCAATAGATGAGAGCTTCAACACTTTCGTCCTCTATCTCTTCAAGCCCATCATGTCGACTCCACGTGGAAAATTCTGAAACCGGAAGTGTGACTGCAGCGCCACCTCGTCTTCCTTCCGGTAGAGGCGGAATACTGTTGGAATTGCAAAGTCCAAATACTAGAGAAGAAAATGATAGTAAAAATAATAATGTAAATGTATTTTTATTTGAAAATTGAATTTTATCTAGAAAGTTAAAAGGCATTGTAAAGCTGCTTTTTATTCAAAAAAAACTAGTATTTTTGGTTTCATGGTAATATCATTGTAATGTCATTTTAATATTAAAAATGACACGAATGGAGATGATACATAGTTGTTCTGAATAAAAACAGGGGGGGGGGGGCTTGAAAGTTGTCAAACTTTTAGTATTAAAACTCTTTTCCTTGAGAATTAATCTAACCTGATATTAAATCAGATGATGTGTTGTTAATCCCGTCCTCTCCGCCTGGAATCAAAATATATAATTCAATCTTTACTCAACAAAATTAAAACTAAAATATCGTAAATATTTTTCAACATCAGTTAATTTGTTTTGGACAGTTATTTAGCTGCTACAAGAGCTGAAGACTTTCTCCCTCCATCCAGAATGCTTGTTTTCTAATCTGTCCCCTTTCTCGATAAAAATGAACATTCTCCCAAATTGCGGATTTTATATTTAAACATTCTTGAATCTTGAAAAATATTTCCTGAATGATTTATAAAAAAAAATGTTTGTTAAAAAGGTTTCCTTACAATAAAAATCTGAATAAGTGTAGATTTACTGAGAATGCAACAATTTCGAAAGATTATATCTAATCAAGGTTATAATGCAAGGAAAGTTATTTCAGAAGTGTACACATATTTTGTACTGCAGTGTACTGTCTCTGGGCGGTAATGTAAACACAAGACGGATGTCAAAGCCTGACATGAGATCCATCTTTCACACAAAAAATCAATGAAATATTCTGGTCATAGGAAACTATTATGAGAATTATCAAAATTATCAAAATTCAATGCTTTTAAACTCCTCGGATACTAAACTAACACTGATGCATCTATTCTTGTTTACAAATTCCGCCCAAAGAGAACTGGTTTTAATGTTTATGCAGAGTATACACAATCGCAATTAAATTTCCTTGCATTACACCCTTGATATCTAAAAAACAAACAAAATATCCAAAGATAAAAAAATTGGAGAGAGATTATTGTGCAAATCGTGCACTTAGCTGTAATAATCTTAATTAACAGATAATTATCTCAATTATCTTATTTTCAGTGAGGTCAGAATATAGAAAGGAAAGAATAATAGTTTATATTAGATATTTTGTACTAAAGCTTTTGAACTACAGATATTTCGTATTAAGATTGAAATTTTCAGAAATTGGTCTACCCTTTTTTTATCTTCAAGATTGACGGAGATATTGGCAAATTTGTACAAATTTGAAATTATTTAATAAATCAAGATTTTCTGATATTTTCGTCCATTTTTAGGGACACGAGACAAGTAGAATACTTTATGAGAATATCGTAAGACGTACAGCCTCGTTTTAATACTTTCTGTGTCATGCATTAAATATAATAAATATAATAAATCAAACAAGACTTTAAACCCGTTTCCCATGTTTATTGGGACACCCTGCACACGCGCAGCAGTACTACATTTGAATTTCTGGTCCCAGTTTGTACTGTATCGCCTGGGCATTGGGTTAATAAAGCAGACACTTAATAGGACTAGGCGGTGCAACAAGATTGACGCGGTCAGACTTTAGGTTGAATTTACTTTTAATAAAGGGGCAGAAGTGCGTGAGTTTTTAACTGATTTTCAATAAATGATAAAAAAAAATTTAACAAACCCAATATTAACAGTGGAAAAACATATTGATGAGTAAAAGACTATTCTAAAAATGAAGAAGAATGGTAATATAAAAACTTGATCTCTTTTTCATGCTCACCTATAATTATCAAAAACTCCTGATCCCAAGATTTTAAAGTATAAAAATAAACTCCAATCCCGACTAACAATCCTAAATAGTATTTCATTGAAAGCCATATATGCAAATTGACTTGGCAAAAATAACTCTCGGGGAAAAAAGGAATTGAGATTTTGTCACAAACTCAAATATTCTAATCCCTCCTATATCTTTGAATCCTGATGTTGTAGACCATTGCTATTTTAAACTATAAGTTCTGTTAGATCAAAGACCAAAGACACAGTATGAAATATCAAAGGTTTACGCCAAAATATAGGGGTTGGAAAATTTGAGTTTGTGGCAATGGCTTATTTCCTCTATTTCAATTATTCCGCATTTTTTTAAAATAAAATATATTTTTGATTTATTTTTATTTTTATTTAAAAAAACACACCTGCAAGAAGTGTACATGCTAAAAGAGCTACCAGGGTTCTATGCTTTTTCATATTTTCACATAATTCTTTACCATTCAACCCATTCTATGATTCATTCATAAGAGAAAAAAGGTGACTTATCTGTGTGTTAATTTGTGCCGTAAATGTGGTTTAATCTGTTGTGTATCTGTGGGTTAATTTGTAACGTACCTTTGGGTTAATTTCTGTCGTAAATGTGGGTTAATCTGTTGTGTATCTGTGGGTTAATTTGTGACGTACATTTGGGTTGATTTGTGACGTATCTTTGGGCTAATTTGTGACGTATCTTTGGGTTAATTTCTGTCGTAAGTGTGGATTAATCTGTTGTGTATCTTTGGGCTAATTTGTGACGTATCTTTGTGTTAAATTGTAACTTATCTGTGGGTTAATCTGTGACATATCTGTAGGATTATCTGCAACGTATTTGTGAGTAAATCTTTGAAGTATCTGAGGTGCATCTATGGTGCATCTTTTGGTTAACCTGTGACGTATCTGTGTTTTAATTTATGACGTGTCTGTGAGGTAATCTGTGGCATATCTGTGACATATATGTGAGTTTATCTGTGACGTATCTGTGGTTTTATCTGTGACGTATCTGTGGGTTTATCTGTGACTTATTTGTGGTTTAACCTGTGTTGCATCTGGGGGTTAATCTGTGGTGTATCTGTGGGTAAATCTGTGACATATATGTGGGTAAATCTGTGACATATACGTGGGTTTATCTGTGACATATATGTGGGTTTATCTGTGACATATGTGGGTTTATCTGTGACATATATGTGGGTTTATCTGTGACATATATGTGGGTTTATCTGTGACATATATGTGGGTTTATCTGTGACATTTATGTGGGTTGATCTGTGACGTATCTGTGGTTTTATCTGTGACGTATCTGTGGGTTTATCTGTGACTTAATTGTGGTTTAATCTGTGACGCATCTGGGTTTGTGTAGTATCTGTGCGGTTATCTGTTGTGTATCTGTAGGTAAATTTGTGAAGTATCTGTGGTGTGGGTTTATCTGTTGTGTATATTTGTAGGTTAATTTATGAAGTATCTGTGGGTTTATCTGTGACACATCTGTGGGTTAAATTGTGCTGTATTTGTGGGTTAATCTGTGACATATTTGTGGGTTCATCTGTGCCGAATCTGTGGGTTAATCTGTGACGTTTCTTCTTTGTCTATTGTCTAAGAATGAATTCCTGAATTGAATTCAGAATACGCTGAGATTTAAATTTAAATGGAGTAGGTGGTAGAGGGGAGAGCGGGCACTCAGATAAATCTAAAACTTGACTTTCTTCTTTAGGTGTTACAGCAGCTTCTGAGGGTTCAGCTTCTCCGGGTGGTAGAGCATCTTTTGTGGGTTTAAGTTGTCCAGGTTGTAATTTAGCCTCTAAGGGTTCAGGTTCTCCCGGTTGTAATTTAGCTTCTAAGGGTTCAGGTTCTCCCGGTTGTACCACAGCTTCGCAAGGTTCAGTTTCTCTAGGTTCTACTACAATCGCTGATTGTTCAGTTTCTCCAGGTTGTATTAGTTCTGGTGGTTCAGAAGAGAGAGGTAAGGAAGGAGGTGGAGGTGCTCTACGTTTACTGGAAGGAGTTTTAGCTGGAGGAGTAGGTTTGGAGGCAGCTGGAGTAGGAGAAATATTGGAGGCAGATGGAGAAGTTATGAATGGAAGTGAGGAAGGGATGGTGTCTATTATTGGAGGGGTAGATGGGGAGGGAGAGGTAGATGGGGAGGGTTGGGTAGTTGCTAAAGGAGGAGCAGGTGGCTGTGGCGGGGGATCATATACGTTTACCTCCCCCAGCATACAGAGAATAAACAAATACAATTGTCCTGCTGCGAAAACTGTAGAAATGCAAAGAAAATATATTCCTGTTGACTCAGACGCCATCTTAGTCTATTCTCTTATAAGATAAAAAGAAATATATTTTGTATCCTATAAAAACATATCTTATATAGTTTAAATAAAAACTTGAATATCAAAAATGTTTATGTTTATCAATTTTTATGCTTCTCAAAACGAAGTTTTCTTCCTTAAATGTCTAAATCTGATAAACGGATAAGTGTAAGTGCATATTTCTAAAAACAATTTTTCATTTTCAATTATAGTAAAATATTGTTGTTTCTTATTGTAATGTGGAGCAAAAATAGAAGATTTTTTACGAAAGAAAACTTAAGGGACTGTCAGCGTACTTGAAGTGACCTTGTCCTTCTATGCAAAGATGACAATGCCCGATTTACAAGGGTACCATCGCAATTTTAATCTGATCAAAAAGTGGAAGATAACGTCGTTTTTCTGATCAAAAAAGTAATTATTTCTGTGAATTTTTCCAGTATTTCTTTTTCGCAAGAAATGCGCAAGTTACTTTTGCAATGAAACCACAAATGAAAATAAACAGTTTAGATAAACTAAAAGTTATCTAGTTAATTTTTGATCAGACAGCTTTTAAATCGGGAATGGTTACTTGAAAAACGCTTGTAATAATTGTTTTGCTTAATAGATTCAAACTCAATTCGGCGTTTTTCCTCAATGGGCGGGAAGCGCCCAAAATAAAATAAAATATATATATTACAGATATTTAACTATCACAATCTAGGTTGCTAGAGAACTGAGGTCCCTGTTTATATTATATTTGATATTTGATGCTATACACTGCACATGATATACTATAGTTTAGTTTAGTTTAGTTTAAGAAATAAACAAATTACAAATCCTGGAATTTATTTCAAACTGCATCTTTCTCTTATACATACAGTGCAACCCACAAAGAATGAGACTTACTGACTGCCTAAAAACTCGAGTTTCAATCTTGAAAATCAGATTACAAACCAGTCTCTAGACCCTTATTCTCCGTTTTCTTAGACACCTTGTATATTTTTAACATTTCCTGGGCCGGGCACATATTTTTATAAATGAATCCGTTACAAATAACAACATTTTAAAGAAATAAAAAGACTTTACATTCTCTCAAATCCTTCCCCCAAGTTTCTTAAAATGTTTTTGGGAGGGAGGGGGGGGGGACGGTGACCGACGTTTGCATGCGGGGTGCACAAAAAAAAAACAGATTTCCTGGTGCACGTGGAGAGAAATGTTGGTTTTGTCCACTCGGGGGATTATGAATAACATTTAGCTGAAGTGCCCTGCGTTGCCCAGGTTAAACTCATAGTTTACTTCTACCGTTTACCCGCACTTGGTCTTAAATTACGATTTTAGATTTATTTCCTTATCAAATTTGACCCACTCAAATTTAGAATCTTAAAACATTCCCGTGGTTCTCCCGAGTTCCCTAATCAAAATTTGAAGCAAATCGGTCATGGGGCTGCTGAGTTATGATCGGACGTACATTACTACTTTATGTATATACACTATACAGGGATGCACTTGAAAATGCACTTGAAAATTCATATAAATTTTTGTTAAATTCTAAATTGTTCAGAATAAATTGCATAAACATTTTGTAATTTCTTCGATCACAGTTAGAATAATATTTTTTCTTAATTTACACTTTTTACACTTTTTAAAATTTTTTTTTATACTGTCTAATTTTCTTCATTGAAATTCGTGTCTTACTAGACATGACAATTTGAAGATGAGCGTTTATAATATTTAAATTACTGCGTAAGATTTGTTTCAATTGTAATATAAAATTTGATGGATTGAATCTAACTCTAGATCTCCTGTTTTTTGTTTGTTCTCAATATTTCCTTCCTGCGTTTTTGGCTCAATTTAAATTTTGTTTTTCATCGTTGTTTTCTGCCTTTTTTTCTCTTTTCCATAAAATAATTTAGAATAAATATATTTTTATAAATTATATACATTAGACATTATACATCTTTAGTTTGAGTATTCCATCGTTCTTCTTAGATTCGGAGAATTGAGCAAATCTTTAAGTTTATTGAACCTAAACATCTCCCCCCTTGGACCTATTAGGGTCCAAACTTTATCTTGAGGTCCTATTCTTCTATTCATATTTGGTTTAGGTTTAGCACTGATTTTCGTTTCAAACCTGTTATAGCCAGGTCTGTCTATTCGTTTACCAGCGTGTTTCTCCACGTGGTGATCAGCTGATTTGTGTTCATGATTATCCGCCATTTTGTTTTCAGGTATTCTATCCATAGCGTCCTCTAGCGTGAACATATGCAGCTGAACATTTTCTCCAATATCCCGTTGAAGAGGATATGATGAAAGTTCCTTTTTTACTCGAATTGGGACAGAGTCAGCAGTATCAGAATCCTGGACGCTTCGCGGCAATGGTTTCAATGGATTGGAGTGGATATGCCAACCTAAAGCAATGGAAAATTTATTGGTGAAAAAAAAAAAAATTTGCTGTTAAAACAAAATACAATTTTCATGTAGATATGCAGGTTTCCACAAAGCTTGAATAAAGAAAAGATAAAGAAGTTATTTTTGTGCTGAGATTAACCGATAATGTTGAACAAACAACTGCAAGAACATTCAAGGAATAAACCTGCAATTTTATCAAACAAGTGTGTTCATTAGTTTTAGTAGGTGAAATTGGACAATCATGATTTAACCCCTTCCTGGTGGAAACCCTCCACCCCCCCTCCCCCTTACAGTTTTAACCATTTCCTTCCATTATTTTTTTTCTCTTCTTTTTCATATTCTATTCTAACCTGGAATTATAGGTATCCCCTATTTTTAACCATGAATAGTTATTCCCCAATTCTAACCATACCTGGAGTAATTATCCCCCAGTTTAACCCTACCTAGAGTGGTTATCCTTCAGTTTAAGCCCCCAACTGGATTAATTATCCCCCTGTTCGAACCATACTTGTAGTGGTTATCTCCCAGTTATAACCTACCTGGAGTAATTATCCACCGGTTCTTACCCCCTTTCCTGGAATACTTATCCCCCAGTTCTAACCCCTACCTGGAGTAGTTATCCCCCAGTTCTAACCCCTACCTGGAGTAGTTATCCCCCAGTTCTAACCCTTACCTGGAGTAGTTATCCCCCATTTCTAACCCCTACCTGGAGTAGTTATCCCTGAAGGAGCAGGTCTAACTGTTCCACTCCAGCCATGGCCCATGATCCCACCAACCTTAGCAGCACTCTCATTCCTCATTTTCTCTTCTATATTCTTCCTTATATCCTCCTCTCTTTTCTTCCGTGCTTCTTCTTGTTTCTTTTTCAACTCCTCTTCTCTTTTCTCTCTTGCTTCTTCTGGGTTTGTTCTTGTTCCTTTTTCCTTTTTCCTCTTTGTATCTTCTTCTATTTCATTTGTGTATTTTTCATCCTGTGTTTCATTTTCACTCACTTTTAATTCCTCTCTGTTTTCTATTGTATCCAAGTTCTCCTTATTTTTTTCTTCTATTGTAGTTTTCCTGGTGGTTGCCCTGTTTCGCATATTACGCAACCTTAAATATTCAAGTAATCTTGAAAAATACAGTCCTAATCGTATACATCAGTTCAAAGAAGACGACTTTACATTTTAATTTTGATTTTCTACCAAGCTTTTAAACAGTTGGTGGAAACACATGAAGATGTAAACTAAGAGAAGCTGTCAATTAACAACATCTTTAATGCTTACTTTCATTTTTTAAAGTTTGTTAGAAATCAAAGTCTAACTAGAAAAGGTCGTCCTTATTGTATTGATATAAACGCCAACCACTGTATAGCATTTACAAAATAATCAACACCAAACGTTTATAAATATTTTATCTACGATCAATCTACGATCAGTGTGCATATTGCATATTTGTTATTATAAGAAGAATAATTAAAGAGAAAATTAATAAAAAAGAGAAGAAGAAGTAATTAAAACCAATTTAGACCAACTAAAATATTATTTAAAGTCAAATCAATAAAAATATGTTTTAGTGTGACCTGACATCCTAAGCCCTGAAAAGGCTGATCAAATATAAAAAAAAAATTAGGGTAGTACAGGTCGGGGCACAGCCACAGGTGGGTTGAAAGACCTTTTTATGTATTATATATACTGTTATAGAACCATTATAAAATCATTATGTAAAGCACAGGGTGTCCCACGAAACATGACAGTAGCAAGACGACTTAAAGGTCGTCTTTGATCGTTGATGTAATTTCAAATTTGTGGTTTTTATTCATAAACCCAATATTAAAAGTAAAATTCTAGAGTTAATGATTACAAAATTGGCATTTTCAAAATGTGGTCTGTTGTAGTTTGAATGATACCGGAGATGTGCAGAATTTTGCTCAGATTTAAAATTTAAAATCTGAACGAGATTCTAAATATCTCCGGTAATATTGACAGCACAAAAAGGCAGATCACATTTTGGAATTCCCTGGTCTAGAAGAATTGTGTGGTTATTGTTTTATGAACTATACATGTTTAAGTAGGTTGACAATTAAATGTCACAAATAAATTCAAAGATGAAAGACGACTTTCAAGTCGTTATGCTACTGTCATATTTTGTGGGACACCCTGTATTAAAATAAAAAGTTATAAAATCTACCTGAGCCATGCTGGTTTAGTTGGACTCCTGCCAGGTTTGGAAGTAGTGGTAGATCCTCGCTGAAGAGGACTCCAGGATGATACTACAGGTTCAGAGGTTAGCTTCGTAACCTCGGAGATAGTCATCTCCTCATCCTTGATTGAAGACTCTGATGTAGACTTGATAAGTGCTAGCTTTGTAGGTCGTCTTTTCTTTGCATAGATTGCATCTCGAATACTCATAATACCTCTCTTACTTGTGGTTTTTAACGTTGTTGCTGTTGTAGTAGGCGCATCTGTGGTAGTCATTATTGTGGTGGGTAAATCTGTTGTTGGGGGTTCAGTACGGTAAAGGGCTGTTGCTGCTGTTGTTGGATAGGTTGGGCTAAATCCCTGAGTTGTAGATATTAAAATTGGATTAAAGCTAGGAGTTGATTTGATCATATTTGGAACCGGAGTTGATTTTATCATATTTGGAAACGGAGTTGATTTTATCATATTTGGAACCGGAGTTGATTCAAAAACAGATTTGGGACTTGGGGTAGACAATATTCCTAGCATAGGGTTTAATATAGGGTTGGGATTCTCCCAATTTCTTATCCTTACAGAACCAGAGTCCACAGTATAGGTCTCCTTTTCTTCTGAAACATCAATTCTATCCTCGACCAACTTGAATTTATCAATAGGATCGATATTGAAGTCTCGAGATATCGAATATTTTGTGGGAGAAGATTTCTTGTCATCCCTAGCATCATCATCATCATCATCATCATCATCAACATCATAACCATCATCATAATAATTGTCGTTTTCATCCTTAGGTTTTATTTTAAGTTCTCCATAAGTTGAAATATTAACACTAACTAGATCTCCGAACTGTTGGAAGATTGAAGAGTGGGAGAGATGAGGAGTAAGGGTTGTGCTAATATGAGAGTTCTTTTTTACTCTGGGTCCTGGAGGCAAGTTGATATCTTGGAGTTTAGTGGGACGGGAGGATTGGAGCCGAGTAGGACGGGAGGATGGGAGCTGAGTAGGACGGGAGGATGGGAGCTGAGTAGGACGGGAGGATGGGAGCTGAGTAGGACGGGAGGATGGGAGCTGAGAAGGACGGGAGGATGGGAGCTCAGTGGGTCGTGAGGAAGGAAGCTGGGTTGAGGTTGTAGAAAGTAAACTTGGTATCCTAGTTGGTTTATGTGATTGGTGAACAGGAATATGGGTCGGAGTAAAAGGTTGCAAGGTTGGAAACGAGGATTGTAGAGTTGGAGAACTAGGGTTTGAGGTAGGAAAGGAAATGGGTACAGTAGGACCCTGGGATGGAATTTGAGGTATCTGGGTAGGATTTGATGCCTGTGTGACGGTTGACAGACTGAACGTTGGTTCTGGTATTATCTGTATACCAGGAGCAGGGTTGGGTTCAGGAACCTGCTCTGGTTCAGGACCGGAGAAGTCAGGGGAAGGAGTTGTAAAATATCCATTTATAATTTCCTCGGAGTTACCGTAGAAATAGCTGTTTGGACGCTGAGTACTAGGGTTTAAGCTACTCTGGGTTGGGTTCAAGCTTCCCTGGGCTGGGATCAAGTTACTCTGGATTGGGTTCGAAAGTGTCTGTCTCCGTCTCTCTGCAAGATTAGACTCTGTAGTTGTCGGAGTATTGAATATAAAGATGGATGAATTGGTCTTTACAGAAACCTGAGGAGAGCTGAATCCTTGAAATCCTGAATAAAAAGAAATTGTTAATCAATAACCATAACAGAATAATAAACCAATAGAAACTAAATAATAACTGAAATATTTAAAACAAACAATATCAGTGTGAAAGAGCGTGCTCAATTTTTAGATATGTATTGTGCTAGACATAATCATTACCTGAAGATTTAGGAGTAGATCTCTGCCAGTTGGTTGGAGATGGAGTAAAGAAATAGTTTTGGTTCGTGGTTCCAGGTCTTGCTGAAGTAGCAGGACGGTTATCCAGGTAGATATTACTCAAGGTGGCAGGAGTTTCATTTTCATCGATAAATACTTGACTGATAGAGCCCAGGGACTCATCACTACCCTTGGGGTCACTCATCTTGTTAATCATGTTTTCTTCTACGGGGTAATTAATCAGCTCCTTGATTGGGATTTCATTTATAGCTTTGTTTTCATCAGATATCATTATCTTATCAATGTAGTCTTCATCGGAGATTAGGTTGTTTTCTATGATATACTTGTTGTCGATGTTGTTGTAGTTGTTTTTATTGTTGTTGTTGTTGTTGTTGTTCTTGTTGTTGTTGTTGTTGTTATTGAATAGGGTTGTATAATGAGTTTGATAATGTTTATCGATCTGGTTAAAGTTGTGTTTAGGCCAACCCTTACCACCCTGAATATATACATATTATTAGTTTTCCATAGACATACAGAGATACAGAGATACAGCGATACAGAGATACAAAGATATAGAGATACAGAGATTCAGTGATACAAGGATACAGAGATACAGAGATACATAGATACAAAGATACAAATATTCAGAGATACAGAGATACAGTGATACAGAGATAGAGACACAGAAATATAGGGATACAGAGATACAGAGATACAGAGATACAGAGATACAGAGATACAGAGATACAGAGATATAGATATACAGAGATACAGAAATACAGAGATACAGGATACAGAGATACAGAGATACAGAGATACAGAGATACAGAGACACAGAAATACCGGTATACAGAGATACAGAGATACAGAGATACAGCGATACAGGGATGCAGAGATACAGAGATACAGGGATATAGAGATACAGAGATACGGGGATACAGATATACAGGGATGCAGAGATACAGAGATACAGAGATTCAGAGATACAGGGATACAGAGATACAGAGATACAGAGAAATAGAGATACAGAGATACAGCGATTTAGAGACACAGCGATTTAGAAATACAGAGCTTTAGAGATACAGAGATACAGAGATTTAAAGATACAGAGATACAGAGATACAGGGATATAGAGATACAGAGATACAGGGATACAGAGATACAGGGATATAGAGATACAGAGATACAGGGATACAAATATACAGGGATATAGAGATACAGAGATACAGGGATACAGAGATACAGGGATGCAGAGATACAGAGATACAGAGATTCAGAGATACAGCGATTTAGAGATTTAGAGATACAGAGATTTAGAGATACAGAGATACAGCGATACAGGGATGCAGAGATACAGAGATTTAGAAATACAGATATTCAGAGATACAGAGATACAGTGATACAAGGATACAGAAAAACAGTGATACAAGGATACAGAGATATAATGATCTAGTGATACAGAGATTCAGTGATACAGAGATACAGAGATACAGAGATACAGAGATACAGAGATTCAGAGATACAAAGATACAGTGATACAAGGATACAGAGTTACAGCGATACAGAGATACAAAGATACAAAGATATAGAGATACAGAGATTCAGTGATACACGGATACAGAGATACAGAGATACAGAGATACAGAGATACATAGATACAAAGATACAAATATTCAGAGATACAGAGATACAGAGATACAGTAATACAGAGATACAGAGACACAGAAATACAGGGATACAGAGATACAGAGATACAGAGATACAGAGATACAGAGATACAGAGATGCAGAGATACAGAGATATAGTGATACAGAGATACAGAGATACAGAGATACAGAAATACAGAGATACAGAGATACAGAGATACAGAGATATAAAGATACAGAGATACAGAGATACAGAGACACAGAAATACAGGGATCCAGAGATACAGAGATACAGAGATACAGAGATACAGCGATAAAGGGATGCAGAGATAAAGAGATACAGGGATATAGAGATACAGAGATACAGGGATACAGATATACAGGGATGCAGAGATACAGAGATACAGAGATTCAGAGATACAGGGATGCAGAGATACAGAGATACAGCGATTTAGAGACACAGCGATTTAGAGATACAGAGCTTTAGAGATACAGAGATACAGAGATTTAAAGATACAGAGATACAGAGATACAGAGATACAGGGATATAGAGATACAGAGATACAGGGATACAGAGATACAGGGATGCAGAGATACAGAGATACAGAAATTCAGAGATACTGCGATTTAGAGATTTAGAGATACAGAGATACAGCGATACAGGGATGCAGAGACATAGAGATATAGCAATACAGATATTCAGAGATACAGAGATACAGTGATACAAGGATACCGAGAAACAGTGATACAAGGATACAGATATATAATGATGTAGTGATACAGAGATTCAGTGATACAGAGATACAGAGATACAGAGATACAGAGATACAGAGATACAGAGATACAGAGATACAGAGATTCAGAGATACAGAGATACAGTGATACAGGGATACAGAGATACAGAGATATAGAAATACAGATATTTAGAGAAACAGAGATATAGTGATATAGAGACACAGAGATACAGAGATACATAGATGCAGATATACAGGGATACAGGGATACAGAGATACTTGTATACAGAGATACAGAAAAACAGAGATACGGAGATACAGAGATACAGAGATACAGAGAAACAGAGATACAGAGATACAGAGATACAGAGATATAGATATACAGAGATACAGAAATACAGAGATACAGAGATACAGAGATACGGAGATGCAGAGATACAGGGATACAGAGATACAGAGATACAGAGATAAATAGATATAAGGATACATAGATATAGAGATAAAGAGATACAAAGATGCAGAGATACAGGGATACAGGGATACAGGGATGCAGGGATGCAGAGATACATATATACAGAGATACAGAAAAACAGAGATACGAAGATGCTGAGATACTGAGATACAGAGATACAGAGATACAGAGATACTGAGATATAGAGATACAGAGATACAGAGATATAGAGATACAGAGATACTGAGATACAGAGATACATATGGATATTGGATATGTCCTTCAAAATCCTTGAAAGAAAGCTAACTATTTATTTACATTTAATCAATTCAAATGTGTTCAAAAGTGTGGGTTAACTGACTATTAAATTAAGAAGTATGATTCCCTCCCTTCTCACTTGCAACAACTTCTCAAATCCTTGAAATTCTAAGGTTTTGAAGAAAATATTCATGTTTGTTGTTTACCACATTTGATTATAATCAACCTTGAAACCAAATATTTAATTATTTAATTCAATTTACAATGTCAACTATACACCATACATGCTCTACAGGCTCTAATTGGATTTATTATAAATTTTTGAATTATTTAGGTGCGCCTGTATCTTGAGAGTAGTATATCTGATGCACAACGGTACCCTGTACAGCTTTTCTTTTACCAAGGATGAGTGAGACTTCCTTATTTGTTTAACTTAAAAGTAGAACTCGAAAAGTTAGAATTAAAAAGGTAAAATCGAAAAAGGTAAAATCGAAAAGGGAAAAAGTAAAACAGGTAGAACTGAAAACAGCAGATCTACAAAGCGTAGAATCGAAAAAAGGTAAAAGTAAAAAAGGTAAGATCGAAAAAGTTAAAACTGAAAAAGATGGAATTTGAAAATCTTTTTATAGCTTTATTTAAATATGGCCTAAATTTTGCTTAGACATTTAAAAAGTTTTATAGTTTTTTTGCTTTTAGCTACTCATTTAAACAAATTTTAAGGTTTATTTTGATTATAATCCGAAATGTCGAATGTAGACTAAGGCTGCTTTTTTAAAGTTGTGATTTGATTCCTTTTCTCAACAATCCTGCGGAAACATAGATTTTTTTAAATTTAAATTGATAAAAACTACTTCTTCGTGTTAGCATTGAAGAGACTGTACAAATATAACCTTGAAACCTTAATCTGATCAAAATATCGTTTCCTGACTCAAAAAGTGTTTAATGCATATCTTGAAAGGAAGAAAGGCGCAAGTCACCTTTGCAGAGAAACCACAAATAAAAAAACAGTTTAGATAAACAAAAAGATGGATTTCTCATTCATACTATGATCAGACAAAGCGTGCAAGGGTATACCATTGTAAATCGAGGATTGTAATCTTTTTATCGGATCGGATGAAATTTTGCTAACAGTCCTTTTAAAATTATTTTTAGTTTAAGTATCGTTGTGCAAACAAAATCTATTTACAAATAAACCATTAACCCAAATTTGTACAAAATTATAGAATTTCGATATTTGCAAATACACAGCGGCAACACAAAAAGGTTAATACCAATAGACTATAATTAAAAATAATTAGATACAATTTTTATAATTGTATCAGAAATTGGAAGTACATGTAGGATGTAGATCATTATATCCGAAGTACATGTAGGATGTAGATCATTATATCCGAAGTACATGTAGGATGTAGATCATTATATCCGAAGTACATGTAGGATGTAGATCATTATATCCGAAGTACATGTAGGATGTAGATCATTATATCCGAAGGACTAAACGTAAAATCAATCATTGTGAAATTATTGAATGCTAACAATACGATCCCTGAATAAAGGGTGACATTAAAAAAGCCTAAAACCTAACAAAATAAATCGGTTTGGTTTCTTAACTAAAGGAAATATTTATCTAACAGTAGAAAATCCTTTATCAAAAAGAAAACAAAGAAAAATTTTCATTTCAAACCCAGATTCAAATGATTATAAAATGAAGAAAAAATAGTACTTTGCACAAAATATTGTCTTTTTTAATAAACAATGTGTATGGAATTCAAACTTTAATTAATGAATTAATTAATTTAATGTTTAAAATCACATAAAAACTATGCTTTGTCGCTACAGGCCAAGGTTGTTAAATTTTGATTGATTGAAATCAAATGCATGAAAATTGTCTGTGATATCAATGTTGCATTTATCTCAAAACTAAAAATGTAAAAGTAATAAAATTAATCATTAAAAAATAATTTCATGCGACATTACAACAGTATACCCTTTTAACCTTTGTCCGAGGAAATATAATGAAAATGTTTCCCTTTTTTATTCAAAAATTTATCATTTCTAATTGTAGATTCTCATTTGAGATTTAGCTTCAAGGGTGGGGGTGGGGTCTCTCTAAAAACAGATAGTAGTTGGGGTAGTGAGGGTAGTTAAAACCAACTACCCAAACCCAACTAACGTCTGTTTTTAGAGAGACCCCACCTCCACCCTTGAAGTTTAATCTGAATGGCAACTACCCTAACTTCCCCAACTACCGTCTCTTTTTAAAGAGACCCCATCCCCACTCTATGTTTATTCTATGCGCATGGTATAAAATATGGGTATCGATTTTCATTAAATCAATTGTTTTAAGCTTGTTTCTGGCATTCATAACACTCTCCGACCTTTACTATCCTCACCACCCACCTTCTGAAGGGTGCACCTGCACATCTCGTAGAATAAAAAGGCATTTTATACGTTCACCAAATGCCCCCCTCCCAGCCGGTTTAGAGTTAAAGCATTACGAATTTTATGCAGCAGAAACAAAGAGTTCAACTTATTGGATAAAAATCACGACGACTTTATCCCTGTTGTTTGTCCGACAAATATTTAAGGGTGTATTTGTGAATAAGGCATGCCACTCCTAAAATTGAGGGTCAGTCACTTTCAGGATATTACCTAATTTATACCAAATCTCAAAATCCACTAATTTCTTTATTTAATAATGATACTTAATGGTTGAATAATGACAAGTGACATTTTCAAAAAAATGAAATTGATGGCAGATGAACGAGGAGAGGAAAGCCAGCCACAATAATTTCTAGTCCGAGCCACATTCTCCTCATTTTCTCATCCGAGCCACCTCTAAATCCTCGTCCTTCCCATATTATTTTTTAAAGGACGAGGATTTCGAGGTGGTTCGGACGAGAAAATGAGGAGAATGTGGCTCGGACGAGAAGTTGCTGTGTCTGGCCTTCCTCCCCTCGATGAACCAGCTGAACCACTCTTTTAAAATCTTTTAAAACATTTAGCAAATATCTATCTTTCACTTTCTGAACAGATTTTATTAATTTTTTAATATCGGTGTTTTAACAATTGTTAATTCTTGGAAATTTGTTAGTAACATTGAATATTTCTAAAATTAAGTTCCCTTAGAAATCTTTTATCGGTCCTTACAATTTAAAGGAAACCAGATATATGGCAGCATTAGGAGATTAGCAAGCACAAGGATTTTTTTTGTTATTCACGACTTTTTTTTTGGGGGGGGGGGCTTTACGTTTTAGATGTTCTGTGGCGGATATGAATATCGTCTTCCTGAATAATTCTAGAGAAATCCAAGGAGGAGTTTCCAGATCAGCTGATATAAAATCATGTGTTAAAGATTCAATAATCTTACTATATAAGTTAAGTTTTTAAATAAAGTTAATCGTTGAGTAACTCTTTTCCTTTAAAGTTGTAGCACGCCAAAGTTCAACTATATAAAGTATTTTAATCTATTTATTTTTGGTGGATTTTGAATACAAGATCAAATCTTGACAGAATTTAAGAATTAAGTATCACTTAATGGTCTGCTAATTCACGTCTGTTCAAGAATTAGGACGGAGATAGAAAATAGCGATTAAATATAATCCTACCTTATGTTTTAAACCTTTGCTTGGTCTTTGAGGCGGATGAGGTCGAGGGGCGTGCTGATTACGGCGGAAAGATTGCGGCGGAGTGTTCCAATTATCCATCCTGGTTCCAATTGGTGGGGTTTCTATTCTGGTCCTGATTGCGGGTTTCTCTTTTCTGGTTTCCATTGCTGGTGTTTGCCGTCTGGGACCAATGGCGGGTTTTTTGTTTCTAGTGCCAGGTTTCCGCCCTGGCGGAGGTTTTGAATGAACCATTCGCTTTGAGGAGTCTCTGATAGTACCAGATCGTTTCTAAAACATCAGAATAATTTATATAAAGAAATCTTATTGTTTCGGTTTTGTTACGTAAGAATTGAACAATGAACATGCCTAATTGGTGGGTGCTGCGTCTGCAGTGATCAGTAATATGAGGGATGGAGGGGGGTTGGAGGGAGAGAGGGAAGGATTAAAATAGCCATATCTTCTATTAAGTATTAAAAGATTTAAGAACATCCCAGATTTGAATAATATCTTTAGATTAATAGAAATCATAATCCAAGTTTAGTTCAGGATTAGAAATAAACCTTCTGTTGATAGTTTTGCAACAGCAAAACTTGTCTCCGTGTGAATTTTAGAGAAAAAATTCTCGGATTATTTATTTCAAATATTAAGGATAAGCTGTGAACAATTATAATGTTGTGTAGAATCTTAAACGTTGTACTTTATATCCTTGAGAGCATTATTTGATCCTTTTAAACGAGTTTCTTTACATACCCGATTAACAAGGGTACCTTAAGAAACCTTTTCAATAGTAATAATGAGGAAGATAATGTAGCTTTTCTGTTTGAAAAGTATAAAAATCCTAAATCAAACCTAACGGGAATCATCATTTATAAAACTAGACTTTCATGGCACTTTGCTCCCCATCTCCTATTTCAACTTTTTATCATGGCTCTTCTATCAGTGAGCAACTTCTCTTTGTACAATATAAAACAATGACAAAAAAAGTTCGCAAATGTAATACTTTTAGACGCAAATTTTTGTAATTTTCAGTATCCATAAACCTTCATTGGGGTCATGTGAGGTCCCACACAAAATTTGGGCCCGATCGGTTCAGCCGTTTAGACGTTTATAGGATATAACCTATTACCATCTATTGTACTAGAATCTTTTTGGTTTTATTCAACACCAAAAAGAATAAATAAAAAAAAAACTTGGTAGATTGCAATTAGGGGATTATTTTTTTATACAAATAGCTCTAAATAATAAAATATGTGCTGTGTTTGAAAACATCCATGATATTTAATTAGAATGATACCATTTCTAAACGAGAAAACAGTAAAATTCTGTTTTTTTCTTTTTATTATGAAATGTCTCAATTAGGATTTTTAATATTTGCAACTGAGTTCTATTTCATAAATAAATGCCATAAATATTTTCAGAGATACATATGTCTGCTGTAACAATGATAATTTTATTAAAAATTTCCTGAAACTTGTGTGCGATGATTAATAAATATTTGTTCGTTGGCTATTAAATTACACCCTACCAAAGAACTATAATGTAAAACTAGTTATTTCAGAAATGTACGCATTTTTATAGTGCTGCAGTTTTCTGTCTCTGGTCTCTAAACTAAGCACAAGACGGATGTCACAGCCTAACATGGGATCCATCTTTCACAAAAGAAATTAATGAAATATTCTGGTCATTGGAAACAACTATGTGAATTATCAAAATTATCGAAATTAAATGCTTTTATCCTCCTCGGATACTAGAGTAACACTAATGCAAGTTTACGTACATGTTTAAAATCAACGCCCAGAGAGAACTAGTTTCAATACGCACGCAGAGAATACGCAACAGTAATTAATTGTCCTTGCTTTATTACCTTGCACCCTACAGGCTATAGATCGAGCGGTTCACAGAAAAACGGGGTTTCCATGCGCTCCTTTGTAAAGGTTCAAAGAGAACTGATAAGAAGATTTTATTGACCGTACTTTTAATTTAAGTGTGTCTTTAAAGAATATTTTCATAGTTGTTTTCTTGATGAAAGGATTTTTTATATGTTTAACTAATTCAACGGTTGAAAATGAGTGTAACATATATGTAAATGCTTGACACATGCAGAATGCAAAAGAAAAGTGATAACAATTAAATTTATATTTAACATATTATATATATAATTTAACAAAGTAAAAATATTAAACAATATAAGAACTTTGACTAATTTTGAGCAATTTTGACTTGAACATAATCTTTAGCAAGCATACGATTCATTGGGAACATTTCTACAGATAAACATAATAATCTTTTTACAAAAAAATATGTTCATAATTTAAACAATATGCTCATAAAGTAAACAGTATGTTCATTAAGTAACAAATATGTTCATAAAGTAAACAAAATGTTCATTGTTCATTTGTGTTCATATTTCTAATAATTTATAAAAAAAATGGAATATTCGTAAAAATAATTTTGACTAGAAAATGAAGTCTTTCTACATATAAAGTTTTGTACATAAATATAAAGTGTTGTACATAAATATTAAGTGTTGTACATAAATAAATATGTTTGTTGTAAAGAAAGGAGGAAATACAGCTAGCATCAAAACAATAATAAGTGCAGAAATTTCATCATTATTGCACGTGCAGAAGAACAAATTATTCTTATCTGTTTCTTGTATAGAGTGCATATTGTGAATATTGCAATTTTTTTGCAGATAAATCACAATTGATGCGAATATTTTGCAAAAATAAATAAAAGAAAGATAGTTTGGCAACTTGAGAAGCCAGTATAATTAGAATTATATAAAATATTTACAATAAAAATCAACAAATAACAAATATTCCAGAGTAACACGAGATTCTTTTTTCATAATTTTACAAAAATACTTTTTCATTCAGGGCAAAACAACATTCACAACCTCGGTATCCACCTGCAATAGTAACATTTGTTAAATCATTAAACTTTATCTCCTACCTCCTACCTCCTACCTCCTACCTCCTACCTCCTACCTCCTACCTCCTCCCTCCTACCTCCTACCTCCTACCTCCTACCTCCTACCTCCTACCTCCTACCTCCTACCTCCTACCTCCTACCTCCTCCTTGTTTTTCAGTTTTCATAATGTCCTTCTTTCTCTTGAAGACCTTCATAATTCTTTTTATGAATATAATTGAATGAATGAAATGGTCCCTTCGGTTTCTATGGTTCTCAATTTGATTTGAATATAATTGTAAATTTTTATTTAAACCTGTTTAGTGTTTATGTTGTAACTACGTCCTTGGTATTGAATATAAAAAGTTGAATGCAGAATTATGAATAATACATTAAAAGAATTTAAACGTCCGCCCCCTCATGCATTATTCAGGGCTTAGTTTTTAAACATTTTCCATTTTTATTTAAAACATTTAATGCATTCTACTTCCAACACTTTTTGATCCTAAAGAAATTGAGTCTTTGCAACAAACTCTGATTTTCTAGTCCTTGTATTGTCCCAACCAAATGTCGTAGACCTTAGATATTTCAAACTATGAATTATGTTAGCTTAACTTATCTAAGTTTGAAATATCAAATGTGTACAACATCAGGTCGCTAAGATATTGGAATTCGAAAATTTAAGTTTGTGGCAAAAACTCAATTCCTTTGTAAAAATATTTAAAATTCAAGTGTTTCTTTTTTAAAAGAATTTAGGCAAATCGAAAAAAAACATATTTGGAATGAACTAAAATCTTTGTTTCACAAGAATTACGTTTTCAAAATAAGTTTGAAAAAAACACAGCTAAATGCTAAAATATTTGATATGAAAGACATGTTTTTGTAAAAACTAAAAATAAATTAAAATCCAATTATCACTTCCTCTATTGAATAAATAATTGAGATAAATAAGAACGCTTCCTGTAAATTTTGATAAATATTTTCCCATACCAAATGCAAGAAATCAAAATTTTACCCACGCCACCGCGCATAAGTTCCAGTTTTTACCCACGCGGAGATCTCAACTTCCGGATTTATATCAACAATAACAACAATAGAAATATATTGATTGAAATATCATGGTCAAATCTGTCAAAGTATATTATTGTAATGCCAAATGTATAAAATGTTGTGCCGAAGGTAGTTGCCTTGCGGTTTAAATGAATACATTTCGTTTACAAACAATTTAGATCTACAGGGTGTCCCAAGAAACATGGGAATTCAGTGACGAATTCGATATCGTCTTTCTAAATAATTCTTTGATTTAGTATAGTGATACCTTCTGAGAAAGCTGTAATCCGTAAAATTTTCGTCTGTTATGTTTACAATTTGTTTGTTTATGTTTTGACTGGATACGGTTGTACTTAGTAAAACAAGAAAATTGCAGTATACAAACAGAGTAAACTTGTCCGTCTTCACTGGTCAGTGTTCATCTTGCGGAGACATTATAAACACATCTTTTGCAGGCATTTACGGCAAATGACCGCAACAGATTGCAGCCATTTACCGTTTTCATAAATTAAACTCTAGTATACATAATAATATTACGGCTTTTGAAATCAGGTATTTCAATGCTAGTTCATAACAAAGACGATATCGAAGTCGTCACTGAATTTCCATGTTTATTGGGACACCCTGTATATGAAGTTGTTTAAATTTTAAGCTTCTCCAAATATTTTATCTGTTTGATGGGACTAAAAAATAAATCAAAGGTATATGTTCAATTAGCATCAATACACTTAAAGCCTTCCAAGAAACTTTTTTTCATTTGTGGGTTCTTTATAGCACAAATTCTGCATTTCTGCTTTAGAAATAATGGAGGAAATGGTAAGAATTAAACACATGTCAAGCTTGAAAAACGGCAATATCTTTTATATAATTGGCCAAAAAAAGTACTATTGTGAATCAGGTTTACCCCTCCATACATAGAGGGTCATTTGAAATTACTATGACAGCCGATTAATATCTTAAGAATGTTGAAAACTTTTTTTTATAAAAATTGGATTTCAAAACAATTTCTTAATGGAAGAACTACGCTGGTCGAGACGGAAAATGTAAAATTTTATTTATTCATGAAAAATGTCTAAATTTATATATTTTGGTTTATGTAGAATAAATGTATATTCTGAGTTATGTAGAATAAATGTATATTCTGGTTTATGTAGAATAAATGTATATTCTGGGTTATGTAGAATAAATGTATATTATGGTTTATATAGTATAAATGTATATTCTGGTTTATGTAGAATAAATGTATATTGTGGTTTATGTAGAATAAATGTATATTCTGGGTTATGTAGAATAAAGTTTGCAAAATGATAAATTATTATGTAATGGAAGGCTTTCAGGTGATTTCTCATCCTGAGACTTAAAGGGACTGTAAACAAAATTTCAAGTGAACCTTCATTGATAGAGGGGCATATAGGATTCTCAAGATTTGTTTAGCATCAACATGATAAACGTTGTATTAAAGAGCATGCCCCTCTTTAATTAGAGGTTCACTTAAAATTACACCAACAGTCCCTTTAAATAGAAATTCTGCTTCTCTCCCATTCTTTAAGAGAATCTACTAGAACCTAACTCTACCCTGTTAACTAAAACTTGACCTTTGTAAATCATTATTTATCTTTGATTTTATTACCTTCAGTTGTTGTATTTCAGGCTCTGTGTAATCAATGACAAAGCTGAATTCAGATCCAAGAAGGTTTTCTTCATCATTATTATTATTTTCAGTTGAATCATTTGTATCATCAATTATATTTAGATCTTCTTTACTCTCATCAGTATTTACTTCATTTTCATCTCTCTCTTCTGTAATATCATACTCTTCTGGGGTTTGTTTATCTTCTTCAGTCTCATTGTCTTCTGCATTCTCATTTTCTTCCACGTCTTCAATCTCGATAAGATACTGCGTTGTCGATTCAACATCGGCTTCTGGCGTAGTTTCAGGGAATTCGGGGATTTTCATGTTATTGAATTCAGAACGGAATATGGCCTCTTGTTCAAAGTTTTCAGGTTCATCATTTTGATCTATTTCAACAAGATCAACTTTATAATCTTCAGGTTCTCCAGCTATATCCAGCTGAATACTAATCTCGGATGCGTCTCCGTCTAGATCAACTTCATCAGCTATGTCATCAATAATATCCTGCAGTTTCTCATCAATCCTTGCCTGAAGTACGTCAAAGGAGCTCTCAGCTTCAGGTTCATTGTAAACAAATGTTCCAGAAATAGCGTCAATAAAATCAGATTTGATTGGTTCCGCAGGTTTGTTTAATAACGGCTTGAATCGTTTGGGTTTAATTGGTGCTCCAAATCTCCAACTGTCAAACTTGACTTCCTCAGAATTCCCGGATAGTTTTACAAAATTTCCGGATTGGAATGGTTTTGATGTTTTTTCGGGAATTTCAACAGAAAATCCGGATCCAATGGGGTTATCTGCTTCTTTTGGAATATCAACAAAATACTTGGAATCATCAACAAAGTTCTCGGATTTGATTGGTTCAGTTGATTTCAGCTCAAGAGCATTTACATAATACTTAGATTTGATCGGTTCTTCAGTTTTCTTCTTAACAATATACTTGGGTTTGATTGGTTCTGCAGTTTTCTTGGGGGATTCAGCAACATAATTCACCTTTAAAGGTTCAACAGTTTTGGTTGGGGTGTACACACTATATTTAGATTTAATATGATCCGTCTCTATATAGTTTGTTTGAATATCTACAGGGGCGAGCTGAGAGAGATCTGGAGAGGGGAGGTAGTACAGTATATGACTCTTTAACCGATCAACCTTATCAACATTGATACTAGGTTTAGGCTCACTAGGAGTAGGTTTAGGTCCACTCGTAGTAGGTTTAGGTCCACTCAGAGTAGGTTTAGGTCCGCTGGTAGCAGGATTAGGTTTACTGGAGGCAGGTTTAGGTTCACTATGAACAGGTTTAGCCAGACCAGGAGCTGATCTATCCAAAATTGCAGATGGTTTTAGTTTAATGGAAGATGCAATCCTAGCTGCTTTAGGTTTAGGTGGAGGAGCAAAATGTCTCCGTAAATATTGGGATCCTGGGTTCTCCGAACTTGGGTAGAGAGCAGGGAGATGGAACAGGGAAAGCAGAGAATTGAACCTAGCTGGAGAATCTTGTCTTACCAGAGAATTCTTCCAACTCTGGGAAGGATTCCTTGTCTTGTAATCATCATTACGGGGTCGACCTCCAGGGGTTCCAAGTGGTCCTGGAGAACCTGGAAAACCAGGAGAACCTCGAGAGGGGCGACGGAGTTGAGATCTGGGTGACCGAGGGGGGGAAGGAGAAGGGTAGCTCCGCTCAGGATGAAATCTGTAGTTTTGCGGATTTTGTTTTGGTGGAGGATAACTTGGACCAGCAAAGGATCTTGGAGGATTAAAAACATCAGTAATAGAAGAGCTGGGTGCAGGCTCAGTGGACAAGGGAGATGATGCTTTAGAATCAGTAGATGATGCTGTAGAAGCAGGAGTGTTTGGAGCAGCAAGGAAAATTGAAGAACTCGGAGAAGCAGCAGAGTTGAAATCCAAAGAAGAGGTAGGAACAACTGGAGAACTAGGAGAACTGGAAGAAACAGGAGAACCAGATAAATCTATTGCAGCAGATGAGCCGGGAACAGCTGGAGTTGTAAAAGCAGATTTTCTTAAAGCTGCTGGAGAATTGGGAACAGCAGATATACTTGGAGCATCTGAGTCAGATGGAGCTTCAGAATAACTCAGAGAAGCAGTAGAACCAGAAGCTTCGCTATCTTCAGCTAAATGTATTTCCTTGTGATTGTTGTGAACATGTTTAGGTGCTGTTAGATAATCTTGATAAATCTCAGACGGAGCAGGTTCAGAATCTGAATAATGTGCGGGTGCATGTGCAGGTGAGGAAACGTGCTCAATGCGCCGGTCAGCAGGCCAGCCGAGCACGTTAGATACCTTGGCTGAGGCAGGTAGTAGCTGGATCCCGGTCAGTTTCGTAAATCCTCCCATCACGTGCTGAGGGAAGTTTACAAGTTCTGTCAGTGGGTTGGGATCTGCTTTACGCTTAAACTAAACAAATATTTATGAGAAAAAAAAATAGTTTAAAAAAAAAAAAAATTAATCTTTTTAAATCAAACAATTGACCAAAATTTGAATGAAAGACAAATTTTAACGATTGAAAGGAAACCAGTTCTTGAAGGTTTTACTGAAAACAATAGTTCTTATTTGTTGTTGTTAATTTTAGGTCCGATTCACAACAGTACTCTGTACAATACAGTACAATGTACAACAGTACTCTGTACAGTACAGTACAATGTACAACAGTACTCTGTACAGTACAGTACAATGTACAACAGTTCTCTGTACAGTACAGTACAATGAACAACAGTACTCTGTACAGTACAGTACAATGAACAACAGTACTCTGTACAGTACAGTACAATGTACAACAGTACTCTGTACAGTACAGTACAATAATCAACAGTACTTTGTACAGTACAGTACAATGTACAACAGTACTCTGTACAGTACAGTACAATGAACAACAGTATTCTGTACAGTACAGTACACTGAATAACAGTACTCTGTACAGTACAGGACAATGAACAAAAGTACTCTGTACAGTACATTACAATGTACAACAGTACTCTGTACAGTACAGTACAATAATCAACAGAACTCTTTACAGTACAGTACAATGAACAACAGCACTCTGTACAGTACAGTACAATGAACATCAGTAATCTGTACAGTACAGTACAATGTACAACAGTACTCTGTATAGTACAGTACACTGAATAACAGTACTTTGTTGTACAGTACAGTACAATATACAACAGTACTCTGTACAGTACAGTACAATTTAGGTCCGATTCACAACAGTACTGTTTAAACCCTTATCTGATCAAGGAAGCATGATATACACATATTTTTATATTTGGAAATTAACCAGTTTTAATTTTTTTTTTTATAAAAGTTCAGTTATTTGGAACATGTTTTGGTGACAGAAGTGAGGACGACATCACTAAATTTATTAAATTTAATCATTCATACTTCTCGGTACCACATAAAACCATAAAAATGCAATTAGCGTTATTAACAACTATGATAACAGGACGCATTAACCGAAATTTGACATTACTATGGGATGATAACGAGATTCATTTGGTTTGTTCAATTTGAGTTCAATCGCGGTTTGGGTTACAAGTTAAAAAGCTTTAAATTTACAGAGTGGCCTTTTAATGCTTTTCTATTTTTAAACGCATCTACCGACAGAAAAGTTTATAAGCCGAAAATTTATGATTAATTGGTCAAATTTTGATGAGAACAGGACCGAACTGTCAAATCAGCGTGAACCGAAAGAAACACAATATATTTCTCGATCGTTTTTATGTACTGTACAGTGTACAGTGTACATGAATTAAGGTTTAAATTGTGCATTTGGGAATCGGATCTGCAGCCACTCTTTAAATGGAGGGTCACTTGAATTTTCGTCCACTGTCCCTTTAAATCCCATTTATCTTCCTTGTCTTGGTATTTGTTTACTTTATTTTATATTTAATTATAATGATAATAATAATGATAATAATAATAATAATAATAATAATAGTAATAATGATAATGATAATGATAATGATAATAATAATAATGATGTTGATAATAATAAGGATAATATGATAATATTAAAATAATTATTATGGATGCATCAAGCTGTGTACAATTAAACAATTAATGATATTTAAAGAACAATATTACAGATTCTGCCCTAGGTGGTGGCGTGGGAAGAAACTGCATGAAATGGTTTAAATAATGTCACCCCTTGGAATTATTGCAGAGAAAACCGGATTATAGACAGGATTCAAACACTGGATTATTGAAAGGATTTAAACGCCGGATTAAGGAAAGGATTAGCCAGGATCATTATTATTAAACTAGCTCATTTTCTTTTGGTACAATATCGAACACAACTAATAAAATATGTAAGGGATGAGGGGTGTTGAGGCAGTAAAGGGATGAGGGGTGTTGAGGCAGTAAAGGGTTGAGGGGTGTTAGGAGTGAGGGGGTAAAGGGCTGAGGGGGGAGTTTCACAATTTTCCACCCCGGAATTGAGAAGGAAAATAGTTTTTGTTGTCTATATTTTCAATAAGCAAGAGTAGCCGCCAGGATACCCGTCAGGACAAATGGAGGAAAATGTACGCTAGATTGTGACGTATGTATTTAGGTTAATCAACTACACTGATCATTGTTATTAGGTGCAGTACGTGGAAAAGGGATTTGAAAATAAACCAAAATTTCGGGGAGGGGGGGGGGGTTGATTTTATTGATGGACTATTTGGGTTATAAAAAGAATTGTAACTTTTTCTTCACCTTAATCAAACATGATAAAATGGTAAATGAAGACAACTTCTCATAAATATACAGTGCTCCCCAAAATAAAATGGTAAGCATTGGCGACTTCTCAGAATATACAGTGCTTCCCAAAATAAAATAACAAGCATTGAAAACTTCTTATAAATATACAGTGCTCCCCAAAAAAAGATGGTAAGCATAGAAGACTTCTCAGAAATATTCAGTGCTCCCCAAAATGATATATGGTAAGCATAAATATACAGAGCTCCTCAAAATAATATGTTAAGTGATGATGACTTTTCATAAATATACAATGCTTCTTGAAAAATAGATTGCATATTAAAGAAAAGTCGTCTTCACATCACCCTTTTATTACCGTATATTTATCAAAAGCCACCAATCTTTACCATTCAATTTTGTTTATTTAATACAAGTCGTCTTTATTTTTCCACTTTATTTTGGAGAGCACTTAATATTTAAGAGAAGTCGTCTATTCCTACTATATTTTTGGGGGAGAGCACTGTATATTTATAAGAAGTCGTCTTCATTTTCCATATTATTTTCGGGAGCACTGGATATTTTGAAAAGTCGCCAATACTTCCCATTTTATTTTGGGGAGCACTGTATATTTATTAGAAGTTGTCTTCATTTACCATTTTATCATGTATGATTAAGGTGAAGAAAAAGTTACAATTCTTTTTATAACCCAAATAGTCCATGAATAAATCCCCCCCCCCTCAGCGAAATTTTGGTTTATTTTCAAATCCCTTTTCCACGTACTGCATCTAATAACAATGATCAGTGTAGTTGATTAACCTAAATACATACGTCACAATCTAGCGTACATTTTCCTCCATTTGTCCTGACGGGCCAGGATATGTTAGTATTGGTATAATTAGAAGAAAAACTGCATACTACTAATATTTTATAATGATAAATCATAATTAAAGGGAGTGTTTGCGAAAAATGAAAGGGGGTATAGGCTTAATGCGATAAAAAAGCGCTTTTGATCGCTTTTAATCTTACTTCTATCTGTTGAGTCTATAAGAAGAAAATTGTTAAAAACGACTAATACCGAAGAACGTAGTATCCATACAAATTCAGAAAGATGCAACATACGACTTAGACCGTAAAAAAATCTATTTAATTTCAAACAAATCATTCAGATATTGCAACCTATAGTCATCGATTATCTTTCGCCACATTTGTATATAGTTGATTTTTCATAATATGATTTAATTGTTATGATCTGAGAGTTACTTATGAAAACATTTATTCCTGTTTCGAGGATTTTTGGTAATGAAGACGACATTTTCATATTTTCCAGGAATGTTCGAAAACAAGTTGGAAGCTAAATGTTATTTTAAAAAATAAAATCAAAAAAATTATGAAAAATCAACTATACAAAAATGTGGCGAAAGATAATCGATGACCATAGGGTGTAATATCCGAATGATTTGTTTGAAACTAAATAGATTTTTTTACGGTCTAAGTCGTATGTTGCATCTTTCTGAACTTGTATGGATACTACGTTCTTCGGTATTAGTCGTTTTTAAAAATTTTCTCCTTATAGACGCAACAGATAGAAGTAAGATTATAAGCGATCAAAAGCGCGTTTTTATCGCATTAAGCCTATACCCACTTTCATTTTTCGCGAACACTCCCTTTAAATCGACAATTTATAACCTATTTACATAAATCTACCCCCCCCCTTTCGTGTTTTGAAATCAGAAAAATCTGTTTAAAAACATGGACGTTGTCTGTTTATGTTTCAAGGTTATGGTCGATAACGCCGGAGTTTTCAAATATTCACTTATTAGCGTGTGCATAGTGCGTAAAAAGTTGACGCAGGTGGGGGAGGGGGGAAGGGGAGGTTGACCGTGACGCAGCGCGTCACTTAGTGTTGCTTTTATACATATATATATATTATGTTTACACATATCATTGTCAATATTCAAAATAAAACAATTCATTTTATATTTATAACTTCAAATTGTCAACAAATGTCAACAAATGTCAACAAAAGATAACATCTACTTGTATAATTTATTATACTAATAATTCATACAGTATATTTTCCTTAAAGGCTTTGATTTAAAAGTTTACAACTGGATTATCAAGTTCCATCAAATGTGGATCAGCGCTATCCAAAAAGTTTTAGCCTTGTAAGTATCCTTGAACAAACTGAATTAAAGATTTGGTTAATATTAGATGCTTATTCAAGGCTATACGATGATTATTAAAGATTAAATTCTCAGGATTCATTTATAACGACAGATGTGTCAATAGAAACATTATTAGAAAAGAGTAATAGTAAAATTCTTAAAAAATAATATATGCAGTGCCAATTGCTCCTTCTAAACTTTTTAACTGAAGGTAGAAACATGTGCGCTGCAATGTTTAAATGTATATTTCTAGGGCTACGGGGTTTTTAGAACCATGTAGACCTTTTGTATGGACAATGACTTCGCATTTTTCAGGACATTTGAGGGTTGGTTGGGTTTTGGGGGTATTTTGACCAGGAAATAGTTCTATTGTGCGTTAAATATAATTAAAGGACTAAATAAGGTGTTGAAAAGTGGGCATATGGTGACATTGGGTGATATTGAAAACTTTAAAGTTTTACAAAATAAAATTTAAAAACTTACCTGAGTTTGGAAATCATCTCTGTTGTCTCCTAGGGGTCCATTTAAGGGACTTCTGGGGTTTTGGCCCCTAAGACCGTCTAGTGGTCCCTGAGGGCCATCCCTATTGATCCTGTTTGGTCTGACACTGTTAGGTCTTCTGAATTTATAATTCTTCAAAACTTATTCTCTTCGTTAATTTAATTTGAAAATTTTAACAAATACTTGAAAAACAGAGTTTGCTGTAAGACTTGATACAACGTACGTTTTTCAAAATAAAGTTTAAAACTTTTTTATTTTGTTGTATTTCGAGCTATTAATGTAACGTAAACAAACACCTCTCCTCCCCTTCTAATACTCAATTCTTGAAAAATGTTTAAAGGGACTGTAAGTGTAAATACAAGTTACCCTTCATGCAAAGATGGTGATGCGCGATTTACAACGGTACCATTAAAACCTTTATCTGATCAAATACATGTGGAAGATATCGTCGTTTTTCTAACTTCAAAGTGTTTATTTCTGCGAGTTTCTCTGTTGCTTCTTATAAACATGAAATCCGCGAGTCACTTGCGCAGAGAAACCGCAAATAAAAATTAACAATTTAAAGAAACCAAAACATTGATATCTAACTCAAACTTGATAAGACAAAGCTTTCAAGTGTACCGGTGTAAATCGGGCATTGCTATTTTTGCATGAAAGCTCACTTGAAATTACGCTTACAGTCCCTTTAAACAATTTCGCAAAAGAAGTTTTGCAGGTTGTTCCTTAAATGGAATCCGTGATAAACATATCCTAGGAATGGTAAACCGTAACTCACATCTGAAGACGGAAGGATTTTTTGACGATATTTGACATAAATACCGATGCAAAAGTTATATAAAAAGTTTGAAGGAATGAGGATAGATATGTAAAGGGTTGGGATATATTGAGGGTGGGTCCAATCCGGAGTTGGAAACAGGAGACAGGGGGGGGGGCCTTGCGTTAGAAAACTAAATGAAAGGGAAAAAAATCTTCCCTAGCGCAAAATCAACCAAAGGGTCAGGTTTAGCTACACGGCTCAGCCTATTAAAATATCATTCAACTCAAGTTTAAGCTAATTCTAATCCTTATCAATCCCAAGTTAATCCGATTCTAACTTTACTCGGAAAAGACTATTTTACTCCCCTATAATCCTTTAACGTAAATATTTTGATGGAAATTAAAGTAAAATAGTTTGAGATTAAATATACATTTTTTCTACAGTTAAAAATGACAAGAACCGATGTTAGGAAAACCAACGAATTATTAATCAAGTAAAATGAGAATTTAAACTAAATAGACCCTCCCCCCCTGGCCCCCCGGCCCCCACACACCTCTATCCTAGACTATAGATAAAATCTATCTTTTACGCAATGCAAATCAAACCAAATCTAACAAACTGAAAATTCACTGAGACAGATTAACACGTTTAAGTCTACTCTAAATCATACAGTTAAAACATAAATTTTTCCAAACTGTGTGCAATGTAACCATGCCCATTTTAGCAGCTGTGTAGTGTACCCAGCCTATTTTTATAAATGTGTGCACCCTGAGAATTGTATTTTCAGAGATACTTTGGTAAACATTTTCCCAAGCAACGAGATTATTCAACCAATTAACAACATCTTAAAAACAAATGTCAACAAATGTCAACAAATGTCAACAAAAGATAACAAATGTCAACAAATGATAACAAATGTCAACAAATGTCAACAAATGTCAACAAAAGATAACAAATGTCAACAAATGATAACAAATGTCAACAAATGTCAACAAATGTCAACAAATGATAACAAATGTCAACTAATGTCAACATCGTAGTTAATCAGTCAGAAATAAAGCTCACGAAGCTTTCCAAATGTGTTCAAAAGGCTCGCATTCACTTTTGAATTCATAAGTTGACTTTTGAGTTAATTAAAAATTGTTTTAATATTTTTCCCATTTCTTCTAGCTGTGTCATACAGAAAATTTATAGAGGGAAGAACGATAGTTTTAGGGGTTTTGCGTGTAAAGTATTTTGAAGGGGGAGGTGGAGGGGGAAATGATGGCCCTTAAAAAGAAGAGGGCAGGTGCAAGGGGGGGGGGGAGCATATTCTAACGTAACTTCTAAATTATTAAATTCAACTCTTTTAAAGTTAACTTTAATCTAAATAAAGAATAAGTTGAGAAGAATGATTCCTGTTAGGTTCTGCTCTGACAAGTCTCATCAAACCTTCTCCTAACCCGGAGAATCCGTCCCGCACTCCAGCTCCTATCCCAGAGAATCCACCCCGCACTCCATCTCCTATCCCGGAGAAACCACCCTGTACTCCTTCTCCTATCCCGGCAAAGCCACCCCGAACTCCGTTTTCCAAACCAGGAAAACTGCCCCGTACCCCTTCTCCTAACCCAGAGAAACCGTTCCTTACTCCTTCTCCCAACCCGGAGAACCCGTTGCGTACTCCATCTCCAATCCCGGAGAAACCATCTCGAACCGTCTCCAGGAATCCGTCCTGTCTCTCCTCAGCCTGCTAATCCAAGAAAATTAAAAAATTAAAAAATATCAAACAAAAAAAGAAAAAAAACTTTACAGGATTACAATTGAAATTTATTTCTAAGTTGTAATCCTTTACCCTTTTATCCCTGGAATTAAGTTTAGGAGGGGTGGTGGGGAGGTAGGATTTTATTTAACAATTTCTATAGTTTCCTGATATCTATGATATGGATACGAACTGAACCAATCTGCACTTCTCATTTCCTTGGTTAGAGGGTAAGCATGAGGTTGAGGGGAAGGATATTCTTCCTCGCTAAACAAATACAAAATAAATAAAAACATTATTTTTATACTTTTTAGTACTTACCAGTATAATCTTTACTTTTGTTATAAATAATTGATCTCATTTTCAAAATAAGAAAAAGTGGTATCTTCAAAACAATTGTCTTTAAAGAAATAGAATATTTTAAAGTGCAAACAACAGCGTGATGGTTTAATGAAGGTATAGTTTAAAATTTTAATACCAGATAAATTAGTTATTTATAAAGTTATTTTTGATTGAAAGCATGGATCAGGTTTTGTTTTTTGAATAAACCGACTAAGATAAGTTAATGATCATAATCATAATTCAACCATTTAAATTAAAATCATGAATTGGCATATTCTGTATTTTCCTTTTGTAAACTTGACTCCAATCTGAGGTTTTCTTTCCTTCCCTTACACCATCCTTTAATTTTTCCTTTTCCCCTTCTCCTTGTTCCTCATTCACTTTCCCGTCCTCAACCCCCCTCAGTGTATCCGCTTGACTGAGGGAGATAAGGGAAATAACAATTATTAAACACTTCATTGTTTCTTTTATCTAGTTCACTTAAATTTTTCTTCATAAATTCATTATTTTAAGAAATATCTGAAATTCAAAATTCATGGTTTAGAACTAAAAATACCGATTGTAACCCAATGTTAATTTTCAAAGTTTAGGCAATTTTGAAATATTGCAATTTTTAATTAAATTGTAGAAAAATCTTTAAGTTTTATCCAAAGTGATCACAAAAGTTGTAACTATAAGATAACCCCCCCCCCCCCTCCCAGCCCCGGAGGGGTCTAGCTAGTTAAGAGGTATGACCATAACCCCTGTCAAACTTCAACTGCAGCCATTATTTCACACGCACTGCACATTATTAGTTTACGAATCGAGTAGATGTAGCGACATTTGCACTATCTATCTATCTTTATATAAATCTACCTATCTATCAATCTATCTATCTATCTATCTATCTTTATATAAATCTATCTATCAATCTATCTATCTATCTATCTCTCTATCTGTCTGTTTCTTTTTCGTACTTGTTTAACCTTATTTTTAAAACAGGATATATTCCTATTCCCTCGTAATTATAAATGTGCAAAAATAATTCCTATCTTAAACACTGATGAAATAGATAAATAATACTAACAATCCTCCACCAGTTTTTTATTAAATATAGTGTAAACAAGAAATATGTAACTTTCCTTATCCTTTCTTTCCTTTTTTCTATTTTTCTATTTTTCTATTTTTTTAGAATTTGGGGGAAATATTCCCACAACCTTTACTTTTAGAGGTTTTTAAATGTTTTCTCCTGAAACACTTAAGTTTGAATGTTTTTGTTATATTTCATAAATAAATAATTTTTTACTTTACTTTACTTTACTTTATTTTTTCTTGAATTTGATTTTTTTGTATATTTTTTATATTTTTATATTAACTACAGACCAATTATTATTCTCCCAGAGCTAAGTAAACTTCTTGACAAAATAGCTGCGACACACATGTTTAAACAACAAGTTTGAGGTTTCCTATCAACATCAATATGGACGAAATAATGTAGTAAATGCAGTACTCTTAAAAGTTCGTCCCCCAAATTATATCAGTCCAAGCGCAACCAGTACGCTATCCAATTCTTGACGCGGACACATCCCACTTGGCTCTAAATGTTACACAGGGACACAAGCATAGCTTATCAATCTAGCTACCACTTCTAAGTGGTTCCCACTGCCCTGTCTGGTTCCGTATCAGAGTCGTCACTCAGTAGTGTATGGTATATACTAAACTGTTCCACTGTGTCACTTGATGCAGCATTGCTTTGCCCCCTTCCGGTGTATTTTCCCTTGCTAGCGTTTCTCTTGCTATACTGTTTAAAGATGATTTCAATGTACTGTTCTTTCTGAACTTCGGAGTTTCTGGCATTTAGCTTGGGTTCATAGGTCTCACTGCTTGCCACCACTTTTTTAGAAAAATGCCTAACTCCGCTTTATACATCATAAGCTTAAATATACTGTTTCAATCTATCCCAAACTCTATCCTCTCTACCTATCCAGGTATATACGATCCACAATCCACAGATGGTGTTGAACTGTCTATATTTAGATATAAAAAGGTGCAGGTAAATAAGTTGACCGCAGCTAGGGTCATGGAACTAAATAACATATGTTTACGGGTTACAAAGATATAAATGAATAAGGGGTTTATCTTTCTATCCCCGTAGTAAATTTGAATTCGAACAGGGCCAGCCCAGTTTGTATCGGCCTGCCAGATAACAGCGTGTACTGACCCGATCCTATGGTACGGTAAATCGCCCTAACCAGACTAACATACGACAGGGGTCAATTTTCTCGGCATAGTCCCGTGCGAGGGCTAACTATGACAACTCCCATGGCGCGTTCAGACTTTTTACATTACCCGGCCTAATCCTAGGCCTATTTGACCGACCCCACTGGCTTAGTCCACAGTGTTATATTACAGTATTCCAGTATTAATCAAAAACTAAATGTTTTTTTATTTTCAACAAGGAAAATTTAAACTCTGATATCTTTTTACCTAATATTTTAAATGGACAACAACTTCCGTATGTCAGTGAAATTAAACATTTGGGAAATATTAGATAATTCTATGACCAATGTCTGTTATGTGAAGGATGTGAAGTGCACAAAGTTCATTTCTGAGCTTCATTTTTTAGGACAAGAACTTTACTTTGCCGATCCTGTAACCTTAGTCAAACTTTACAATATTCATCTTGTCATTTCTACGGATCCCAATACTCATTAGATACCTTAAATTGAGCCTATTTCTAGATGCTTGCACATTTTATTAGCGAGCAGATTTGTTGCCTTTTCTGAAGAGAATGAGCAGTACAAATAAGTCAAGCATTCGTTTACTTTATAATTTGTGTAGAATGATCAACAAATAGTTTTATGTAAGAATCTGAATACAATTGCAGACGATTGTAATGTGTTAGGGGTGACAATTTGTCCAAAACTTTTGTTAAGCAAAATTTAACGTTTTCAAAGTTACCAGATATATGATCAGAATTGGAAAATACCTCTCATATATCAACTTATGGACAATTGTTCTGTTAACGATTTTAATTATCACGAATTCAATGATATATTTTACATGTACTGACTTGTGAGCCGAACAAAAGGAATAATACTCGAAAGAGGGAAATAAGGCGAGTTGGCAAGGAAAACACTCTTTTCTACCAGACACAGATAGATGATAACTTCTTGAAAAAAGTATATTTCAGTAACGAGGTTTCCTACAAAATACAAATTGTTATTGGTGTACATGCATATAAATAATAATTGTTAATAAAGATTAAATAGTTGAAGGTTTTATCAATAAATGAGTATTGTTGTGAATCGATAACTAAAGGGTTTAAAAAAAAGGTACTGTTGTGAATTAGGTATATGGAACTTACAATCTAGAAAACTGTGTTAGGCCGAAAAGTTGTTTGAACTGAAGTCTAAAGCAATTTAATTCTTCTGAAATGAACATTTATCTGGTTAAAGTAATTTCACTGTTTATTTGTAAATGATTCATTAAAAATTATGTTTAAATGGGTTCTTTTAATGCACTTTAAGTTTTATTAGCTCCATGAGGTTATTGTTTATATTTATGCAAAATCCTTGGCAAAGTTTGGTTTGGTGGGTGGACGGAGGGTTCAACGGAGGTACAGTTTGTCGGAGACGACTTTTACAACAGGGTTACATTAGGGGTATGGTTCACATGAATACTGACTGACAAGTGATATTCTATATTCACAGCTTCCAGGTTCCTCGTTTATATTATATCTTTGTCTTAATTCATTGTACCATTTTTTTGTGCGCGAAATAAACTTTAATAATAATAATAACATGATGTAAAACGATAAACAGTGTTAATATAATATATATCATAGTAAAATCTTAAATTTATACAGATTTTATTTTACAATTTTTATATTTGCCATGTTTAAAGGAAGTGAGTTTTTGTCACAAAGTCAAATGCTCTAATCCTTATCTTCGCAACCTATTGGTGGTGTAAACCTTTTTTATTTCAAACTTAGACTACCTTATCTAACATAATTTATAGTTTGAAATATCAAAGGTCTACGATACTTGGTTGCAAAGATATAGGAATTAGAAAATTTGAGTTTGTGACAGAAACTCAATTCCTTTCTTCTCCACTTCACACCCCCCCTGGAGCACGGTTCGTTGAATATTTCCCCGTCCTTGTACTTCAGGTTGAATATATGATTAGAGTGCCAATATCAAGTTAATTTACTCTGTTTAAAAACAAGCTAATTTGTCCATGGTGTTGTTAATACACGTTAAATTAAAATTATATATGTTTTTAATTATTTTCATATCTCTTCTTATTAAAGCGGTATTGAGAGGAACAGAAATGTTTTTTTTTCTTTAATGAAACCGAATCAATTTGCTTTTCTTCACATAGTTGTACCAGTAATGTCGCAAATATGTGACCTTCTCGTTGTGTTTCATACATCTAATTGGACCTTACAAAAAACATAATTTTAGTCTGAAAGTCGTCTTCCAATTCCAAAGTTTAATGGATCTCCTTGTATTAATAAATTGTCACAAATCTTTAAAATTGCGTGTAGAAATGCAGAAATAAGCTGTAGAGGGGACGAAAGGGAGGGTAACTTGGTGACTTTTATTACATGGCAATTATTATCAATATTATTTAAAAATTAATTATTTTTGGAATTCACATACGCAGGAGAATGTTGTATTGTATATCATTAGAATTGATGGCATCCAAAGCACCCAAAAAGTCTTCTTTGTTATCAAAACCAATTTTTTGTATAGCTTTCTAAGTATAGAAGTTTTACTCAATCAAAAAGACACAAAGATAATTATAGTGAATACTAATGATTGCAAAACACTTGAAGGAAAAGGAATAATGTATTTACTAACAAAGATAAAATTACAGTATCCCTTACCAAGTATAATGACTGACAATAATTTCCGATTTACACAAAAGTTAATTAATTAATTCGACCCCCACCATCACTTTATACACATACATCTAAACAGTTTGTTTGTAACCTTTGTGACAGAAACAATCTCAAGGAATAATAATTGTCTTAAAGCATTTTTTAGAAAAGTGAATATTTGCAAATTATCTTTTTTTCCATCTGATAATCTGAGTTCGTTTCCATTATGTCCATTTGACATCCCAAATTTTTATTTTGAATAATCTTTTTGTTTGTTTATTTTCTTGTGATTTTTAACAAACATTTTTTTATATTTTTTTTTATCGATTTTGATGGTTATTATATCGTTAGAACTGACAAGGGTCAACCCAGACCGCAATATATTTTCAAACTATAACAAAAAAAAACAAAAAAAACATCACTAACACCGAATTTTAAATAATGACTGACAGTTTTGAGACAATCCAACAAGTTCGGATCATGGATCTTTTAGATAATTAATTTGCGGCACAAACTGTCTAAGTAAGTTGAAATATGGAATAACTACACTCATGAAATGTATTATGATGACGAGTTAAATATCATGAAATATTTAATATACTTTAAGAAATTGAGTCTTTGAACAAACTCGAATTGTCGAAACCCTATATCTTCGCAACCTTATGGTATAAAC